GATTGATTTCAACAATCTGTAGTCATTAAGGTGGCTTTCCACTTATATATAAAATAATTCACAACAACACTACAGTTTACTTCCAAAGAATACACTTTGCTACCACTGTGAAAGCGAAGCACGTTTTAGTTGCTCTGTAAACAGCTTGTTTGCTCTGAAAAATGTGTAGAAGAAAATATGACAGAATTAGTAACATCATCTAAAATTTATAAATCAATGCTAAGTTGTCTCCTTTAGTCAAAAAAGTGTGCAATCTAATACACAAATCAAAATAATGTGAAATATATTAAAAGGCCAAGACTACATCTGTAGTCAGGGAAACAAACAGTGCTGCAGACAACCCAAGTGATTGGTTTCTAATCTAATCCCCAGATACTTGGAAAGTTGTAACATCCCAATCACAGTGAAAAGAAAGTACCAGTTCTCCTCCAACACCACCTCCTCCAACTCTGACGACGGCAAGAAGGGTCCAGCGGACGCATTACAGGTGGCTCAGGACAAAAACACAGGCAAGTGAATATGATGCACATCTGTGTGTCATAGACATGTACTACTGTAATGGAAGTGAATGGCCAACTGCCACCATTCTCATCATTGTTTTTCTTTTTCCCTTCATCCACCCAAGCAGACACTCTGATGCTAGATGCCCAACCAGACCTGTCCAACCTGAAAGCACCCAAAAAACCTCCATCTGGGGCAGTTGTAGGGGAGTCTCTGGCCCCCCTCAGTCTACCCAGCAAGGCTGAGAGTGTGGTGTCCATCACCTCACAGTGCAGCTACAGCAGCACCATTGTTCATGTGGGAGACAAAAAACCTCAGCCAGAATCAGGTTTGTTCAAAAATTTGATTTATTGTAATACAGCTGTGTATAACACACACACATGGAACACACACATGTTTTTAGTCATATTTGTCTGAGAAACGTGTTGCATTTGTCTTTTGTTGTATCCTTCAGAGATAATCGAGGATGTTGCAGAGAGCCCGGTGCCTCCAACTCTGCCCGGCAGCATGGTGTCTCCACCCAGTCAGGAAAAGGAGGCATACAAGAAACTAGGACTGACTAAACAGGTGCTGGCAGCTCACACTCAGAAAGAGGAGCAGGCCTTCCTCAGCCGCTGCAGAGGACTTCGCAGCGCCAGGAGCTTACAGAAGGACTATTTCAAATATCTTCACCAGGACAAGGGTACGGGTTTATTTTTACAATAGGAAATGCAGCAGTAGAAAAAAGTGAGCTTTTTACAGGAAGTGTCGTTCAGCTGTGATGTGTCCACTCTGTTGGACTGTTTTCTTTTTTCTAAGAAAACCTGGTTTTATTTTGTCCAATATCTGTAAAAGTAGAGTTCAAATTATTTATGATCAAGTTGTGGTTCAGCAACACGTTCAAGGACCTCTATCTATGCATCACACATGTATATGTGATGTTTGCCGTCTTACAAATCAATAATAGTTACCAACCTTTGGACGTTTCACTTTTCATTTCAGAGTCTGCTGAAACTCCAGCTGCCCCTAAAACAGGGACCACCAGACAGGAGAACACTGCCAAGAAGAACAACCGCAGCAGGAAGTCGAAAAAGCCACGAATGAAGCATGGCGATTCGTCGGACAGCACTGTGTCCAACCACAAGCTCCGCCCCCCTCTGCAGGGTCTAAACCAAACATCATGGTCGCCATCTGAAGCCTCCCAGTCAGCTTTTAATGTCCCCTACCCTACGATGGTGCCTGCATACCCGCTCTACCCACCAGCAGCTGCTGCCCCTGCCCAGGCTCCTCATCTTGACCCCTCCCTTTCCACAGGCTTTGGAGACGGGCAGAGTACTCAAGCTCCACCTACACCCACGCCATTTCCCACCCCTATGGTAACACCCGTGGTAGCTTTGGTGCTGCCAAATTATATTTTCCCCCAAATGGGACAGCTTGGGCATATGGGGGCTACACCCTCTCCCCAGTTTCTTCTCGAAAACCAGACACAATCTGCATACGCCGCCCAACAGCCCTTCCAGCCCCCACAGCTAGCATACACCATGCAAACACAGCCTTCATTCACCAACCAACACCAGTTCCCTGTGCAAACTGGATTTACTCCCCAACAGCCATTTCCAACCCCTCAGCCAGCCTACCCTAGCCAGCAGCCCTTCACTGTCCAGCCCTCTTTCCCAGTGCAAACCAATTTTGCTGCCCAAACTTCATTTCCAGTGCAACCCTTCCATTACCTCACCAAAGAGCCCTCGAAAGCCCCTGATATAGAGCCCCGAGAGGGCGCAGCATCCCGGTCCTCCACTCCAGCATCGGGAACACGAGAGCCGACTACCTCCCCGCCACTGTTTGAGTCACGATGCAGCTCTCCACTACAACTCAATCTGCTGAGTATGGAGGATGGACAGCGGTCGGTTGAACGTCAAGACAGTATGGCGCCCCCTGCAGGAGGCCCGGGCAGCGTCACAGCGGCAGCGTCGGAGAAGAGTGGCGGTTTTATAAACACAGAGAACCAGCCACAAGTGAGCATTATACTCAGCCTAGTGTACTGAATACTCTGTTATCAGTTAAATTTAGAGATGGCAGAGAAAAGGCTGTAGTTTTAGCTGGACTGACCCACTGTAGCCTATTCACTACATTTATAAATTCACACCACATTACATTGGTGTTTTTTTGGTCTCTGACATTGTTGCTGTATATCATAGGTGGTGTCTCTAGGAGATGGTGGACACAGTGACAGTAACTCCTCCTCCTGCGACTTGCTGGATATCCTTTTGCAGGAGCAGGAGGACTCGCACTCTGGCACTGGATCAGCCACCTCAGGCTCAATGGGTTCAGGATCAGGTTCTGGCTGTAACCGCTGTGGGACTTCAGCTAGTGGAACCTCGGGAAGCAGAACAGGTCAGTAGGAACCTCTCCCACAGGATTTTAGGAGACACTATTAAAAAATACTGATTCTTCCAACACAGAGAAAAACACACACAAGCCTGGAGGTTGCAGCTAAATTAACAACCATTTGTCAGTCTATGTTGTTTGACTCTGTATAGTAGTTTAGTTTCCAAACACCTGGTAATACATTAGGGACTGCATGTTGTCAGTTCCTTGCCTGTTCCATTCATGCTCTTTTCTGTTGTAGGAATTTGTAATTAAATATAAATTATGATTCACTTATTTTCTTTCCGTGTTTCTAAATATGAATGAAAATGAATCCAGCGTTTCATCCCTTTCTAAGATAACTGTAATAAGTTGTTATGTCTGTCTTCAACCCTGTCTAGGAAGCAGCAACACCAGCAAATATTTTGGCAGTGTGGACTCTCTAGAACACAACACTAAGGCCAATTCTATATCCAAAACCAGGGCCAAAGAGGGCTCTGAAACTGGACAGTCTCAGACCAAGGCCTCCTCTCAGGGAGAAAAAGAGCATTTCATCAAATGTTGCCTTCAGGAGCCACTCTGGCTGCTGATGGCCAACACCAACGACAAAGTCATGTTGACCTATCAGCTACCATCTAGGTGAGTTCTTCACATTTAATGCAAATAGACATGAGTGAAATGCCAAGACCTCTTTTTAAACATTGGTAACGTGTCTAAATACTGGTGTGTTTTTTTTTTCTATAAAACAAAAAACAGGGACATTCAAAAGGTTCTACGTGAAGACAAGGAGAGGCTAAGGCAGATGCAGAAGAGCCAGCCTCACTTTTCCTCAGAGCAACGACGAGAGCTTTTGGAGGAACACCCATGGATAAGACGGGGGGGTCTACCTGCTGCGATTAATGTCAAGGTCAGTGTCACATGCATCATATGTAAAAGTAACTGTTGACAAGGGGTCAGACTAGGTCATTCATACCACTATAATCACTCACCTAATGCAGTCAACATCATTGTCACTGTGACCAAAATTAATTGGCTCCTTTGAGGTCCTGGAAAATAAGTACATGCAATTCATTCCCCAGACTTTCCTAAAATGTGGTTTATAAATTGTTTCATTACATGTTTCTGATATTAGTGAAAATGTTGACTTTATGTGGGAAACTACACAGAACACATTAGTTTACAATATGTAAACATTCAATGGAAAACCCATTTTTGCACAGAAAAGCAAAACATATTTTTTATTTTACATAGAAAAACAAATGAACTTTGTCCCTTTTTTTTTTCATAATTGCAGGAATGTGTGTACTGTGAAGACCCAGCAGGCACACTTGTGGAGGATGATGTGCCAGACATAGACATGGGAGAACTGGACGATGAGCTGAGCCACGAAGAACAATCAGGCTCTGGCTCATGAAGCAGAGTTATCACAGAGACCCGTATGAGCTCACAACACACACAGTGAATGAAAATGAGAAAACACAAGGCTGTTCTTCTCACACAAACGCACAGATTGCATTTAGTTTGAACATATTGCTGGTGACTTTTGTCCACCGAGATTTTCTTTTCTTTCTTTGACTCCAAGTCCATCCTTATTCAGTGAGGCAGAGCTCCACAACAATGTGAAAAGTTCTCATTTAGAAGTTCCAAAAAATATAGTTGCCCAATTTTTAAATACAAAGATTTACTCCAAATATATAATATAATATTCACAGATAAAATAATTATACTATTTAAAAAGTTATTCAAAGGCAGCCAAGCATTGCCGTTTGACAGTTCCAGTAATTTATGGTTTCATTAAAGACATAAAAAAAACACGTCGTTAAAAGGAACGCTGGTCTTAAAGCTTAACTGATGAGTTCGCTGACCTCAAAAGGGGAAATCTGACATAAATAATTTATTTTCTGTTAGGTTTCTGAGTGTTGCATTCAAACTCTAAGGCAAATTCCCTCAGTTAAAACATTATCTTCACGTTTACATGTGCTTTTACTTGACAAAGCATTAGCTGCTGCTTTATGGCGTTTTTTTTTTTGTTTGTTTTTTTAGACATGAAAACTACAGTAAGTTGTGGTTTGGCCATAAAATAGGTAACAAGGAACAAACACTGTCACATGACGAAGACGTTGCAGAAATGTCTTCTGTTTTAAAACTGTCCTCGTCAAAAACTGATTTGAGGATAGTGTTGGTAGAAACAAAAGGCAGTGACAGATTTGTTGCTGAAAAATGTTCATCTATGGTACTTCAAAAGAAGGACAAATAAGTTCCCTGTAAGTGTCTTTGGTATGTCGTGCTATGACCGTAGCTTCACCTCACTGTTTAACTTGCCTACCTCATTTCATGTGAAACTGTGTAAAAGCTACAGCTTAGAACCTAATTAATTTAATTTTAAGTGCTAAGTATCTCAACTATCTAAGTTACACCAAAAATATAAACAACTTTAAATAAGTCAGAACCCTCATCATTATGTCTGTTACTGAGACAAAAGGAATAATGTTACAGAATAAAAGACATTGAAATAAAACAAGTATCCATGACAGTAATATCTGTCCAGTCTACATCTACTTCTAGATCCTTATCATCTAAATCTTGGATAAAGCTGTGGACGGAGATTTTCCTTCAAATGTTCTGTGACTACATTAGAACTAGTTTATGCTGCACCATGGTTTGAGCCACATGTGATGCTCAAACATCAATTCAGTGTTTGCAAAACTTTTTCAGTTTATATTTATATGATTTCTCTGCCCCCTGTCGACACATGAAGGTGCATTTGGGTTTAACCATCACCACCAAGTCAGTATTTCCTAAGTCTTCTTTTTGCTTCCTTAAATCTTAACATAATTACACAAGACTTATCCTTCATATCCATCATTTAAATGTAAGCAGTCACCAATCTAAGACCAACAGTCTTCAAAGTCGGCCTTTACAGGATTCGTCTTGGAGAAGCATTGAGTTACGTCAACACTGGCCACAGTCACTCTGTGCTTGTCTCTCGTTAACGTAGTATTGGGGCAAAGTGTGGCAGAGCCTTTGAATGTAACACAGAGTGGACCAAGAACATGTTTGGGTTACTTTGTTTTAATGATTTTAAGTTAAATTTGTGTTTTATTTGTTGACCTTTTTCTTTTTCTCATGGTTTATTTTATGTAAGAAAGTAGTTGTTGCTTGTTTTTGGAGATGGATCCTACCTCAAATAAATTCCACGTTAAGTTACTTTAAACAAAAACATAAAACAGATTAAATGTGTGTATAAACTCCAGATTTTTGTAATCTATTTAGTGTAAAAAAATAAATAAATAAAGTTAAGAGCATCACCACATACCTGTGTCAAATGCAGCTGAAGATGATGATGAAGATGAACTGCTGTGTTTTCACCCTAATGTTTTTCCAGAGGCCCCGTTCAAACAGAGGGAAATGCTTTTAAAATGAAATGTCTTTTTACCACTCTGTGCTGGCACATGTACAGTTATGTCGGTTTGTTCCAATGCCAATTGTGTTTGTGTATGTGAGATGTTAACTTGATACATTGTACATTTTTTGTAGTTCAGATGTTAACACGTTGTAATAATAAAAAAATTTAAACAAAACAGTGACTTATCTCTTCACTTGTGTTCTGTGCTTGTGTATCTTTTGTCTGATGAAAACACATATCTGTTCCATTAAGTCAGTCCTTTACATACTAAGTTAGCCAAAAACAATTCATGGTTGTAACAGGGTTGTGGAATAATAGTACCACAATGAAATGCTTGTTTACCAGACTGGGATTCTCGTTCAACATGGAAATAAAATAAACCAAATAACATAGGATGGAAAGGAAAGTGAACTCCTTGTCATTGTGACCAAAATGTGACCTCTGCTTTTAACCCATCACCAAAGTGAACAGTGGGCAGCTCTTTGAGCCCGGGGAGGGGACAGTACCATGCTCAGAGCACCTCAGTGGTAACTTGGCAGCTGGTGGATTTGAACCTGCTATCTTCCAGACCCAAGTGTTCTTCCTTAACCACTAAGCATTGCATTATCCTCTAGTGGAAGCAGACCTAAATATTTGTATCTAAAAGGCAGTGATATACAGATACAGTAAGTCCCACAACTTCCCTCAAATGACATTAATGGCAGTGCTCCCAAGAACCATGCCACCAAGATCTGATGATCTCTGAAGGCTGGTCCACTTCTTCTTCAGTGGATTACAGTACGGTGTGTCTATGGGGAGAGAGACTGGCACATTTCCATGTACCAAAGGTTGGTATTTACGACACTACATCTACAAAATATAAACATATCACTACATTATACACATTCACAGTCGAATGCATTCGCTACAAAAACAAATTAAACCACGGGTTTCACAAATTTAGTGAGGAGGATTTATTGCAGGTTTTAGTTTTCAAGAATCAATTTCCAAAGAGCACCTAAATGCAACATGCGTCACATTTCACATGCAGCGACGCATGTGTTTAAGGACCCCGACCCTACTCTATGCAGAGGGGGCGGTAGAAGTGAAACAAATAGCCTGCACAGGACTCTACTATCGCTGCTGGTGGTAACAACGAGTCTGGCACACGGAGGTTGCAAAAACAAACCAGATTGCAATAGAAGATTAGGCGACACGGAAACAAAGCAGCTCTCTTCTCAGGAATCACTGGGTTACCGACTGCCGTCCTGACAAATTGGGGAAACTATTGAAAACGCCATTTTCGAGGTATTTTGTGTATGCAACGCAACATATAAACACACACAGTCAGTGAACTTCTGGCCTCACTTGTCGAAAACGGTTGTTTCAAAGAGAGCTCGATTAGTTTGTCCCACTTGCTAACAGGCTATAGTCGACTACGGAAGCGTTTAGCTGACGCTTAGTCTGCAGGTGGTGGTTACTTTCTGCTTCAGTTAAGCATGACTTTCACAGCACTGTCACTTCCAGGCCTAGCTAACGTTGTGCTAGCATGGCGAAATAACGCTGTCGTCGTGACGCTACAAAAGCCACTGTTAAGTGTGGATTTCCTTCGCTCCTAAATCACAGTGTGGCGACTAAGTGTGACAGTCTAGTGGGATACCAGAACGCTTTGACACGGAAATGTGATGAAAGAATAGCATACCACGTTAGCTAACAGAAAGAACTTGCCCTGTAAAGTGGTACTACAGCTGAATTACACAACAGCTCTGTGTTATTGTGCTTGCGAAATACTACATTCTTTTTATTTTTAGCTTTGCTAACTGGTTTGATTGTACATTGAAGTCACTGCACAAGACTATACGTCGTACTTGCAATCTCCATAGACGTCAAGAGACTCTACTAGTTCAACGTTTGTATGACATTGCTCAGGGGCAACAACAGTAGCTTTAGCCTTAGGCTTAGGTTTTTGCACATTAAAGAGTATCTATATATAAATGTATAATATATGCCCTTACTGGAAATAATGCCCTGATCCAATGACTCGACAGTTTGGAGGTATTTCAGCATGAGGACAATGATGTCAGCAAGGCTATTGTAAGATTTTTATTACAATATTAGAAATATATTATAACAAACAAAGACCCAAGCCTCATTGCTAAATAAGCTAATGTTCCGTGTCAGTTTAACAGCACAGTGTAGAGATGTGTTTACACCTTAACTAGTTACTGTTTGTCGAGTTATTTGACAACATTGTGTTAATTTACTTAATTTAAACAAAAGTCTAAGTGATGTTTGTTCCCAGGAGAACAGAATATAGTGTTTAGTTCGTGGTTTTTTAGTGAAATGCACAGATGATGTGAGACACTCATTCACTTCAACTATACACAATCTTTTTTATCCCTAGTCCTTCTGTTATTCTTTGTTTTATTGATATTAAGTTATTGATATATTGTATAATGTTTTTGTTTGAAGACTATATATTTTTTAATTACATAAAGATTAGTTTTTGGCATGCAAAGGTCCTTTGTTATTGAGAGGTTAGCACTTGCTCTGTCTACTCACAGGTGTCACCTGTAATCGAACCCCCAGTTCACCCAAACTAAAAAATGTATTGGTATATGTATGTGGAATTTTTTTTGTTTGTGTTTTTAAATTACACTTTCAGAAGATCTATTGTTGCTCCTGCAAGTGTTTCTGCTGGGTTCCTTTGAAAGCCGGGTCATTGTATCTAGAAAAAAATGGTGTAAAAGCATCCTGTTCCATCAGATATTCATTTGATAAAGATGTTTGTTAAGTGATTTAAAGCAACACGTTATTTGACACGTTACTCTTTTTAAATCCCACCTGCATAAAATATTTGGTAGCTTTTTGCAGCTTATTATCATTTGTTGTGCCAAACTATTTCCTGCTTAGCAATTGTGGCTTTTTGGATTCTGGTACTATTGATTTGAGCATTCTATGTAGAGAATAATTAATTTTGCAATATGCACATTAAGTATATGCTCAACAAGGCCATGGCTGACCTGTAGATGAAGCTTCCACAAACACATGCTGGGCATTGAGGTGGTATTTTAAAATAAGGTTGCTTTGCAGTGTGTGTTGACGACAACTTGTGTATCGGCTGTGTATTAGTTGATGTTGTTGATGAATATATACTGTACGTGCACGTTTACAATAAATGTATGTATACATTAGGGCTGTGGAAAGTCTCACCTTAATCGCATGAATTATTTTTTTAAATACCTACATATTAATCAGTTTTTTCAAATTTTAACATTGGCACAATGAGGCTCACTGAATATCCAATAGTTTCACTATCCATCTACTTACTGTTGCTCTAATCACAGTCGATAAGTATGTGTTCAGTATGTGTTTGTGGAGGCTTCAACTTCCGGCTTGTCAGACTAGTTTCGGGGCTGTAAGTTAGTCTACATCTGACAAGCTGACTGACACAGTTGTAAACTGGATTGCAATGGACTAAAGACCGATTAATATTGTTGAGGTCAAGGGCTTCACCAAAGTTTTAAATGTTGCAACTTCTTATGCAGTCTAAAAGCCACCGTCACTATTGCCCACAGTTTGTGGGTCTGTGTATTAGGGTGAAGATAAGTGGAGGGTGGAGTTAGTGGATATATAGTACAGTGAGGGTGATAGTGATGATGCTTTAAAATGCATTAAAAACGTACTCTTACTAATCTTCACAAATCAATTAACATCATTACCACATTCATTTTGAAAGCCCTAATATAATTATACATGATATAATTAATGGTTGGCATTTGTAATGGCCAAGGATATCACAGAGGATCTGATAGACAGTGATACTCTGCATCCTTACATGGCTATGACTCTGATCTAGTGATTAAACTTTCTTCCCAGGTGGAGAGTACGCTGTCTGGCTACTCGTGGTAACACCCTATCATGCCTTTCCCCTTTGGCAAGTCCCACAAGTCACCAGCAGACATCGTCAGGAACCTTAAAGACAACATGACAGTGCTTGAAAAACAAGACATTTCTGACAAAAAAGCAGAGAAGGTACAGATAATCCTCTTAAAGTTTTTTCAGTGAGTGGTAAAATTAAAGAGGATTTTGTTTGGATATTATTATTATTATAATTATTATTATCATTGATAATAACAATAATATCAATATTATTGTTGATATTAATATTAATGTTTTAGGCCAACAGTCATATGACAATAAAAACATTGGCATTTTATTCATATAAGATCTGCTTTGGTGTATGTGGATGCTTTTGGTTTTCATGCAGTATATGCTTTTCTTAGGCAACAGAAGAGGTGTCAAAGAGCCTGGTGGCCATGAAGGAGATCCTTTATGGGACGAATGAGAAAGAGCCTCAGACAGAAGCAGTAGCACAGCTAGCTCAGGAGCTCTATAACAGTGGCTTACTCAGTACCTTGATAGCAGGTTTACAGCTCATTGACTTTGAGGTAAGTTTTGTGTTATTTTATCCATGATATGTTTACACAGTATCTGCTAACTTGTTAACAATGTGAGAAAAAGACAAACTTGTCCAGTACAGCACAGACTAAATAATATGTAATTGCATGTTAGTTACGACTTTCAAAGAAAATTTGAGTGCTTTGCCAGTAGGAACCAAACCAAAAGTGGAGGACCCCTGTATCCTGTAATGAAACATTTTCTCTGTGATAAAGCACTCAGGAAATACTGTGGAAAAATCCAACTTTCTTTCGAAAAATGATTCCTAAACTGTACATTGACAAGTAGATAGATTGGTCGACCAGTCGATATTTGTGTAAATTATTTTAAAAGCAAACCCTTTCACTTAGTTTTCTTAACCTATTGTGTTAAGACACACTCTCTTAAAATTCCTTTTGTTGTGTCAGGGTAAGAAAGATGTGGCTCAGATCTTCAACAATATCCTGAGGCGTCAGATTGGCACTCGGACACCCACAGTGGAGTACTTGTGCACCCAGCAGAATATTCTTTTCATGCTACTTAAAGGGTAAGAGACATGCACATATACACATAGAGTTCCACTGTCTATTTCGATTGTATCATCTACATTAAAAGATAGAATTGGTCTAAAACCACTTGCAAAGCCTAATAATTTAAAATGTCTTCGATGGCAGTGTTCAGCCATTTGTCATGCCCTGTGCTTCTACACACCCCTAATGTATGGCAGGTTTTCTTCAGCTAAAATTCACACCTCTAAGCGTTACCATTGCAGTGTCATTTCACATAACATTGTGAGCAATTTGAGTGATACTTACCACACACAATTAGCAATGTGTCTTGAGGATCATGACCATAATTAAAGAGGATACTGCCTCTGTTCTGAAAAAACTACAAGACTGAAGAAAATTTGCCATTTATTGTTTCCACGAGGATTCACACTTGGTAACGTGAAATTACCACATGCACTTTCTTTAGACCAGAATGATCATTACTCACATGTTTGGTAAAATGTATTTTTTATATATATATATATATATATTTTTTTTTTTTATGAATGTCCGTAGAATATGCTAGTTTTGCTAATGTATTACTGGGTGTGGCCAATTAATTATTCTACTCACATCCATGGTTTCAAACCTTTCATGCATTCTTAGGTTCTCAAAAGTAAAAATGATTATAATAATAATAATAATAATAAATAAAATGTCCAGCAGTTACAATGAGGTCCGTGCACTGCTCAGTACTCGAGCCCCTATAAATCTCCAAATGGAGATTAACGTGCCCTTAGTGCTTAACATGCCACAGTCAGGACTGAACCCCAAGTTTAAATACAAGGCCACAGACGGCTCAAATATAGTTAAAGGCAAGATTTTCTTAAAGCTTGCTAAAAAGTGAGCTTGTGTGGAGGTCTGAAATAATTTAAGACAGAATTCCTGTTTTAATACTATCGCCCCTCGTGTTGTTTAGCTGCCACAGAAAATGGCTTTGTCCTCTTTTTCATGATAATATTCAACAGTTTATCGATTTCTACCAATGGCCGGTTGGTCAGCAGCACCTGAGGCTGTCATTGTCACAGCAAGTAAGCTGCTACCAGTCCAGCATGAGAATAAGAGTATCGTGGTAACTGTGAAAACAACAAGTAAGGACTCAGTAAATTAATAGTAGATTACTGTGCTCTAAAAAAACATGGTTCCCAGGTTGTGTAGCAGGAGTGGGCAATTAATTTTCCAAGGTGCTGCATGGGAAATTGGAATGGTATTAGTGCTAGAACAACTTAATACAGACTTACAATAACCCATAGTTCAGAAGATTAGTTGTTAACTTTGTTTTTTCTGATCTGTGCAGGTATGAATCTCCAGAAGTTGCTCTAAACTGCGGAATAATGCTAAGAGAGTGCATCAGACACGAACCACTGGCCAAAATCACACTGTGGTCAGAACAGTTTTTTGACTTCTTCAGATATGTTGAAATGTCCACATTTGACATCGCCTCAGATGCATTCGCCACTTTCAAAGTAAGAAAATGGAAGCAGTGGAACTAAGATTTTTTTGTGTAATAAATATATTAATTTCTAACACATTCTCCTCATTTCACCATCCTCTGTCACTGTGTTATTTTATTTGTTGCTGCTATCTTTTGGTCATTTATTCTTTTCTTTTTTTCTTTTTTGCATGCTGTTTATGGCCAAGGCCCTTGGACTTTAGCCTTTTTTGTACTTCTGACATATGTTTTTGCTCCTTTGGTTAATAAACCAAGAATGGACGTAATGATATATACATATTTATGTGTGTATATATGTACCATAATATTTTGTATTATGTCTCCACAGGATCTTCTCACCAGACACAAGATACTGAGTGCAGAATTTCTTGAGCAAAATTATGACAGTGTAAGTACACACATCAAACTGCACTTTATCGTTTATCATTAGTAACTGTTACATACATGAAAAGGCCAAATCGTCTTAATGTGTTGATGTAATTGTCCCAACAAAGTTTTTTTGCATCGCAGACCTGTTTCATGGTGTTTTGATAGTTCTATATAGCATTATAGCAAAAACCCACCCTGAAGCCCACCCACTATATACCCGTGTTCTAAGTCTGTAAGACTGTAAAAACAACTTGTTTTAGTTTGAAAGAAAATGTTTGTCTTCTACTTTCTTTGTGGGCCTTCCAGACTTGACAAACATCCTGACAGGCGACATTTACAGGGGGTCCTTGAACTACGTCGGAGTTCTGTTCCTATGGCAGGACATGTGTGATTTTCCCCGTAAATGGGATCTCACATACTGTACATAAATACCTACAGTATGTCACTCACCTACACTAACACTAACAGTGTTAGCAACATCATAATAATAAGAAAAGTATGACTTATGCCTGAGAGCAATAAAGGACAAAAAAGAAAGTCCCAAAGAAACAACACAATCCAATGTATGGTCTACAACCAGTGAATGTTACAAGTCCATCTTCTCAAGTCGTATGTTGGAATGATTGAACAAGACTCTTTAAAACATATGGAAGATGGTGACTTGACCACAGAATGTCAAAGACGTTGTAAACCAAGGACCCTCTGTTTAATGGTTTTTGTTATTTAAGAGTCTTTCTCAGTGATAATCATTAAATTAAGAATTATATCGAACATATTTTTCTCTGTGGCCCAGTGTCAGCTCCAGGACCTGGTGGGTGTGAAGCTCTGTTTTAGTGAATACATTGAACAGACTCAGTTTAATTCATGTCACATTTTCTTTTCTGTCTCTTCTCACTCCCTCCTCAGTTCTTTAGTAAATATGAGAAGTTACTCCACTCAGAAAACTATGTGACAAAAAGGCAGTCTCTCAAGGTAAGAAGTAACATTCTTGACAGTAAAGAGGTTTCCTGTTATAGTGCAGCTCTACTGCATCCATTATTCTTTGACCTCCCTACATCAGGGGTTACCATCGGGGGAAGTCTGCTTTGTAATTTGGCTCAGTTTTTAGAGCGACTGCCCTTCCTGGCACAACCCCTACCCCTCCAACACCCCACCTGCCATGATTTACTAGAGTTGAGAGTTTATTTGGAATGAAACCTGGGACATACTGTATAACAGAAAAATATTTTTTCCCTGGCAACTCAGACAGTGTCCAGCTTTTTAATCCTTTTATTTTTCTTCAGTAAAAGCCACATGGCCTTGACTCAAAAAAGAAGTTCAAAACTTAAATAAAATATATTTAAATATATATATTTATTGTTGATTCCCAGAGGCAGTCAGGGGCAGCCTATTACAGCAGAGCTGCTGTTATTCATAAGAATTTCCCTAATAAAGTTCAAATTATTTATTACCATTATTGTCTTATGTTATATTTTATTTATTGCTCTGACCACACAATCCTTGTTCCTAATGTAGGTAGTCAAGTATGAACATTTTATTATTGCTACCATTTTCTATAAATAAACCATACATTTGTGATTTAATTTGTTTTATTTGTTAATGCATATTTAATCAATTTCTAAGTGCTTTCTCTTCCTTTTGTGCAATACAGTTACTGGGTGAGCTGCTTCTTGACCGGCACAATTTCATCATAATGACAAAATACATCAGCAAACCAGAAAATCTTAAACTAATGATGAACCTCCTAAGGGATAAAAGTCGCAACATCCAGTTTGAGGCTTTCCACGTATTTAAGGTATGAAAATCCTTTACCCAATCTTCAACAAGGAGTGAGGGAAAGAAAAGACACCTTTTGAGCTGTTTGACAGGAAGTGACATATTCTGTCCAGTACATTTGAAAGAAAATGGGAAAAAATGCAGCAATTAAAACACCTTGGTCTTAACAAAAATATAAATTTACATGTCTTATGAATTCACTGAAAGTAGAAAGCGTGCTTTTGATTTACCAGAAGTATCCACAAAATTCCAAATGGACAATACTTTTATTGAGAGTCACTGTTCACTTCGTTAACTGCCATCACCCAAAATATTTTTTATTGGGCAATGTAGGTGCTGAAAAAAATATTTTTGAGTAAACTTTTGTTTATCAGTTCCAAAAATGAAGTCATTATCAGTTCAACAGTGTCTCATCTAACAATGTTCTTGTGCTTCACACAGGTGTTTGTTGCCAACCCCAACAAGTCCCAGCCCATCTTGGACATCCTGCTTGAAAAAAAAGACAAAACTCATCGAGTTCCTCAGCAAGTTCCAAAATGACAGAACGGAAGATGAACAATTTAATGATGAAAAGACTTACCTTGTAAAACAAATCAGGGAGCTCAAGAAGCCATCTTCCCAGGAAGCGTGAGGAGTGAAGCAAAGGTGGAAGTGAGGATAGGAAAGAGCCACCTGAGCCACATCTGGAAGAACACTTAGACACGTTCTCTTTAATAGGACATTTGAAGCAAATTTAAGTCTAACAAAAAAAAACAATCTTGCCCTTATCAACTTGTCAAGATGTTGCCAGACACCTGAGGACATTTTGAGTGCTTGTTTCACGTCTTTTTCTCTAAAGAGAAATAAGTTTAAATTGTTGGATAGAGCTGCTTTCTTGCACACCAAGAAAATGAAAGTATATTATAAGAATACCACAGGTATACATGGCAACACCAATATTTTAGCTAAGGCCGCTTTCCCTTGTGACGCCTATTCATTGCACAAAGTTTACACATGTGTACCAAACACACATACACATGCAACAGAACAGCCTTAAAACCCGATTGTGGAAATGGTACAGTATAAGCAAAGTGAAGCAATGGTGTTGTTTTTTTTTTCTGCCGTCTTAAAAAAATGTCTGATCTATGGCTGACCTGTAGTCTGGTTCCCCTCATCTGTCTCTAATCTAATAAAGCAAAAGTGATTGGTTTTACTGGTTTTTCCAGGGCCAAGCTCTCAAATGCCATCAACAAGAATTAGTCACCATTTGTGTCCTTGTTTGAGGATTGGTTCTCTGACCTTGACACACAAATTTACTTGTGATAAAAAAAATAGAAAAGATAAATATGTCAATGGAATGTGTTAATTGTCTTAAGTTTTAAAGTTTAATTTTAACGCATGGGCAGAATGAGCATATTTTTTGCACACATTGGAGGACATCGTTCTCAAAGCTTCACGAAACATCTGGAGCTTAAAGTATCATATTAATACCTAGTTTGTATCAGAGCAGTGTAACTGAGCACAGGGCAGTCACACGTCTACAGCTGGAAACCTGACTGACACAAGTGTCAAATGGACTGTGAGGAACTGTAGACCGATTAATACTGTTGAAGATATATTTTTCAGTTATAGTTTTCTATGTTGTTCTTGACATTTTCCCATATTAATTAATTCCAACATTGGATCAGTCACAAATAAAAACAGCTGTGAAGCACATATATGCTAACTCCTATCATCTACTTTGCCTTTCTGTTTCAGCAATTTGCATAATATAAAGTGTTTGTAAAATGTAGGATTTTAGAGTTTGATTAATCTCAGTGAGATAAATGATTGTGATTAGCTGTGATTAATCCACAGCTCCCCTGTGATTCATTGGTTTAACAGTTTTAATCTTTTAACAGCTCATTGGATATATATATAATTGTCTTCTTCTTTCAGCTGTTCTTCAGGGGTTACCCAACCCCCCATCTCCACCTTTTCTCTCTCCAAACAGCTCCACCTTAACCGCCACTCTGATCTGCTCATTTCTAGTCCATCCTGGTCACTCCCAGTGAAGATCTCGGCCTCTTCATCTCCAACTCAGCCTTTTGTCCATTAGACAGAGTCACTGTCTCTGAACCATACGTCATAGCAGGTCTCACTACTGTCTGACAAATGATGTTATACGTTACTATAGTGGTGGTGTTTGTGAAGTAAATGTTCTTAACCTACACATTTTGGATATTTAATTATATATTACATTATATCACATCACTGAATGTAGGACATTCAAACCTATAAAGCCATCAATTTAAAATGTCAAGAAGTAAAACTAGTGTGAAATCGCTCTTAACCACCAGTGTAATTATCCGATTTATAACTGTTTTCTTACAAAGAGATAAAACTCGGATGGCTTCGCACTTAAAATGTAAATGTACTTTGTTTGAAGCTGTTAACAAAGTGGCAACAAGCCGTTTCTTGTCCATTGAACCTTCTAACCGGTCCAACCTTTGTCGGGGAGGGGACATCCACGGCGCTATGATCGTTTCAGTGGAGGCGCTGCTCCCTGCTGAGTTGAAAGACATCCAAGGCTGTGGAGCCGGGGGTAACCCGCGGCCAACGAAGCCTCAAGACCACCCTCCGTGCCGCCCACAGAGCCTCCTGACCCGGCGTGCTCTTTCTTGTCAGGCCGCATCTTATTGAAGCGCACGGTGCCCCCTGACTGCGAGGCAGGGTGGAGGAGGGATCTGAAGAATTATTCTGTTAAACTGGTGTCATTTACAAAAACACTGTGACCGCCGCATATGTTGCTCTGTTGTTGAAATGCAGATCTTGTCTAGTCACGGCCCAAATAACCATTTATTACAACTTTCCCCCCTAAAATAGCTTCGAATCATTTAATATCGACAGTGGAATACTGATATTGATTAATATGATTAGTAAAGTTTTTTTATTTTATTATTATATATTATAAATTTTGCGTAACACATTAAAGCGCCTCATTAAGCATTTCCAGCCTTTGTATGAAACCTAGAATGTTTAACTAGTTAATTAAGTCTTCCAATACTACAGTAGCAACTGTACTTTTACACTTGGTGCTGTGTAAACTTGTGATAATGATAATTTCAACTTGTTTTTTTTTTTTATTTTAAAAAAATTCTCCTACGTAAGTGCATCTCCTTGCTCTTTTAAAACGTTCTTGCAGCAGCACCTGTAACATCAACAATTTGCCGCCCGGTAACAATAAAGTATGTTTATTATGAATATGTATATGTAACATAACTGCCACACACTGGTCTTTTAACACTGTTGAACGTTACAGCCAACAACATCAGCAAAAGAAAAGAAAAAAAACAGAGAAAGTAGCATTTAGCCGATGGCACAACGATGTATGTATCTCGCGAAAACGCAAAAACTAAGACAATTTAATTATATGTTTTAATTAAATGAGTCTAGCCTTTTGTTAATTCTCAACTTTTGCCCCGTGTTGATAAAAAGGAAGAGGAGGAGAAATGGAGGAGGAGGCTCCCGTCGCGTTTTGACCCTGTGAATCTTTCACACCATAAACACCACCCTCCTGCTCCTCCTCACGCCTCCTTATGCTGCCTATAAAAACACCTCTGTAGCGGCCTTGGTGTTCTCCAGCCTGTCGGACAGCAAGCAAAAGGAGCCAAAAAAGCAAATGGACGCTTGTTTTCCCTCTCCTTTCCCTTCACATCCACAGCTGTAAGCCAGAAAGAAAGGTGCACCAGTCGGAGCCGAGCCATTGAAGGGACTGCCGTTAACTCTTGGTTTTCTGTAGTAGAACTGGACCTTATCCGACCCAACCCGGATTGGACCGGACTGTGAACCGCGCATTTGACGTCTCTGGTAGGACATTTAACATTATTGATTTGAAACTGGTGGCGAGAGACTGCGGTGTGCTTTTAAATAATTTATTTAAAACATGTTTCTTATGTTAGGATTTTCTTTTGTGTCCATCATCACTGTTATTATCCACGTCAGAAGATCACTGTTCATTAAGCCTCACACGCACACGCGCGCGAATACACAGTGTCAAGCACAGGTTCAGAGTGCCTTTAAACACCGCCCCGTTTATCTGAGTGTGTTATTCTTTCATTTGAACGTTACATTTCACGACATTGACAGGTTTATAATAAACAGCAAATGAGATGTATGTTGACTCTCAGGACTTGGAGGACAGAGACAGTATAGTGGAGCCGGGAATCATCGGTGTAAGACTGCTTCCCAAGTCACATGGAGGAGAGGGTATGTCCTGCTGCTGTCTTTCAGAGCCCAGTCTAAAAGGATAGGTTATTAAGAGCTTATTGATATTTGAGCACATAGTTAGGAACATCATATCTGTACTGCATTCACACAGACGCACACGTGATTCTAGCAGGCAGCTAACAGTAAAATCTAACCACAAGTGTTGATCTTTTATTCATTGGAGGTTAGGAAGAACACTGGGCTTAGTATTACCTGTAGTAGTCTGTAAAAACACCCCACAGGGAAGTGTTGGTTGGATGTACCCACAGTATTCCTGCTCTCAGCAGACTTACAGTTGTGTATTGTCACTTGTATTGGACATTTGCAGCTCTTGAACTCACTTGGAGTAAGTGTGACCAGGCAGAAGACAGACTCTGTTGACCTAGGTTAGAGGAAAGTTCTCTCATGTTGTGGTGGCCAATGAGAGATGGACAGAGGGACAATAAGAAAAATTTAAAAAAAGTTCCTCATTAAAATCATTAAGGAAACTGTTGTCCACCCAGAGACCTCCAATGGTTCTTTGCAAAGGGATGTGACTTGAAGATAATTCATTTTAATTGGGAGTAATATTTTATGTTCAAGTGCTTAATTATTAACCGTCTTTGATAGTATCATTATTATTTGAAGCAGTCATATATACTTATGTGTGTAACGGCAATTGAACTTTCATATTTTTTCCCTTTTTAGGTCTTAAGATTTTAACCTATCATAATCAGAATTATTTTGTGTACTATTGTGGTTGCAGTATTCAGTAATATGTCTATGTCCACTTCTTATATGTTGCGTCACTTCACTATGTTTGTAAACAGAATGAGTGTGCATAACAGTGCTGTACATATAGATACATGCATACAAATATCTAAACAGAAACAGGACCTGGCCTATATTGGTAAAAGCAAAGTAATAAGGAAACATGTTACTACAGTTCAAAATATTCCCAGTCAAACGTTACCACTGTTTTATGTGTGGATTCCTCAGTCAGTGTGGTCTCAGTCAACCGCTTGGCCCTCCAATAAAACCACAATTATATCTGATCTCACAACCACACAGATGTCAAGATGTCACGTGTCATGTTTTCTGTCTTTGCACCTAATCGTGTTCCAGTATGAAGAGCTGATGCACTACTCTGGGTTGGAGGCCATGTCAGTGGGGGAGTACAGAGATGATATCAGGGCACTTCCTCCCTCACAGTATGGATCCACCATTCCTGACCTACTAAAACAGCACAAAAACCAGATCTATGGGTAAGTGAGATTCTGAGCCTCTTTATTTCTCCCACCTCAAGCTCTTTTTTGTCTATTTTTATCTATTTGTCAGAGCCACTGTCTCCATGTCCTTTTCCTGTGTCACTAATCACCTCAGACACTCGTCTCCATCCATTCCACTTACCAACACTTCTTACACTTGTGTCAAATGTTATCTTAAAGGATATATGTTAACATGTTTTTTCAACAGCCAACTGTATTATCAAGCAAATAAAATTTAACTCTATTGATTTACTGACTTGTATGATTATATTTTTTTTTTTTGCGGTAAAATTCTTACCATCCGCAAACATCTGTTGAATAGAAACATCCTCCATTTCATGTTTTTAGTCTCAGTGCTGACTGTTGCTGCTGCTTCATTCTCACTCAGTACAACCTGTTTACACCTGAAAACCTTTGAACCATTTCTTGTGTTGAAAAAGTAGTTGATCTCAGTTAATTTATCAGCTTAAATTACATTGTCAGCAATAAATATTACCACAATATCTGTTATTAAATCATCAAATCTGATATTATGACCTTGTTGTTAACATAGTTTGTGTGTGTGTTTGCAGACATCCACTGTTTCCACTGCTGGCCTTAGTGTTCGAAAAGTGTGAGCTGGCTACCTGCTCTCCTCGAGATTCAGTCGGTCATTCCGTGACTCATTTCTCCCACATGACCACCCACAGCGATGTGTGCTCCTCCGAATCCTTTAATGATGACATTATTGCTTTTGCTAAGCAGGTTAGTGACACATGGTCCCTCAGGGATAGATTAATGCTGATGCTGATGGAGGAGAGCCAATCACAGAACAAACAGATCAGAAAAATGTGGGAAAAAAGGGTTTTGTTCAATGATAATGTTGATTTGGTTTTACAGGTTCGGTCAGAAAAAAACATATTTTCATCCAATCCTGAGCTGGACAATTTGGTATGTGTGGATGTAACACAATCATTAAGCAAAATCATAAACATCTTATTTACACATACAGTAAGTTTGTTTAATTTGAATTTGAATTCTCCACACAGATGATCCAGGCAATACAGGTCCTCCGCTTTCATCTACTGGAGTTAGAGAAGGTTAGTGGACAATACTAATGTTATTGTATAAACCATGAACAGTGTGTGCTGGTGTTTCTGTGCTTATTGTTGTGAACATTACTACAAATACCTGTGTTGAAAGAAATGCAACACTTTTAAATTTATCCTTGCAATACTTTCCTAAAGGCTGGTACATGGCCAATGTTCTTTAATGCACTGTATTTGTAATGTAATTTTGGAAATAAAGTTAGTAATTAATGTAGTTTTAAAAGTTTAATATTTATATTTTATTTTATAATATTTTATATTTACCATTTATCACCCTGTGTAGAGACAACTGTCTCATTATTTTCTTTTAATTTGCTCTGGATGTCATGAATGATCATATCTAGATGAATCCACTAATAATTCTGAACGTGTGTTTATAGGTGCATGACCTGTGTGATAACTTCTGCCATCGCTACATCACCTGTCTTAAGGGCAAAATGCCCACAGACCTGGTGCTGGACGAGTGGGAGGGCAGCTGTAAGTCGGACATGGAAGATATGACTGGGTCATGCACCAGTCTGTCGGACCAGGTGAGAATTCTCTTAGTGTATTAGCCTGTGGATCTCCACCCATCTCCGAGCTGTCTTCCATCTGCTCAAGTCTGATTATTTACTTTAAATTTAACCTATTCCTGTCCGTCTCCTACAGAATACATCATGGCTCCAGGAACCAGATGAATGTGGCTCTACACCGGACCCTGGTGGCCTGCCCTCACACAGCACAGTAGACAACTGTAGTGATACATGTACATACACACATGATATGAAAGTTTTCTGTTGTTATTGCACCGTCTCTGTGAACCAGTTGTTCTACCCATAACGTGTTTAAAGTGTTCTATATTATAAAGAATTAATTCCCTTTGGTGCAATAACTGCTGTGTACTCTCTTAAAACCTATAGAAATCTATAATATATATTTTTTTATATAAACACACCAAACATATAATTCCTGTAAAAAGTACTACATGTAAAAGTAAATTGTGCCTTACAATTCCGTGTTTACCTGTCCCTGCAGGTGATGGTCCAGATGGAAGCATAGCCTCCCCGAGCACAGGAGAAGAAGAGGAGTCTGACCGAGAAAGAAGAAACAATAAAAAAAGAGGGATTTTTCCAAAAGTGGCAACAAACATCATGAGAGCCTGGCTCTTCCAGAATTTAACAGTGAGACAATTTAGTACTACTTCATTTTGCATATTTACTTGTAGGCATACGTGTAGAAGTGTAGTAAAAAAAAAAACCTGTCTGCAGGAAGCCATTACTGATATCTGTAGGAGCAAAAAGATAGTTTTATTATACAGAATATAAATGGTCCGTACAATAATAAAGTCGTGGAGTTCCTGGAGAAATATTTGAGTGAAAATATACACTCTTGAAGTGGCAGACTGTACAGTTGAACAGCGTACCAGAATGTCCAGCAGGTGTCACAGCAAAGCTTTCACACACCGCAGTCACTAAATGCTTGGGTTTTGGGTTTTATTTTTTTGGGTTTTATGCACAGTTGCAACAGTCTGCACAGATCAACAAAGCTGTGTATGATTCAAAATTCAATTTCTAGTTGTACTGCTTCGCAGCAGATGCAAAACCAATGAAGGCTCTTCTTTAGAGAATAATTACATGGAGTTTAGTGAAAGTGTGAAACTGATGCAACAGAGACAGATGTGAAATTAGTGTTGTAACATGAGCCAACAAGACTTAGTTATAGTTATTATTAGGGAGAAACTGAAATGAAAATTCTTGGCTGAAAGTGAAATGAGGAAACCAAGGCTGAAGACTGAAACACTGAAGAATGATTTTACCAACCTCACTAAAATCAAGGCACTGTAATTGCATGAATAAATATGAATGTTTCAAAGAATAAAAAATTATGAAGATTCTTTTCTTTATCTCTGCAACACATCACCTTCTTGTTCACTCTGTTTTCTTTCAGCACCCATACCCGTCTGAGGAGCAGAAGAAGAAGCTTTCCCAAGACACTGGACTGACCATTCTACAGGTCAATAACTGGTCAGTGCAAACTAAACGCATGCTTATTCTGTCTTGGGGCTAATCATGATATTAAGTGAACTTTTTATCTATTTATTAGTCTTTTTTACCAGATAAATGTTTGAGTTTAAAGTTAAAAGGCAAGGGCAGAACAGCAGCAAGGACAGTGTGACTTTCTCCCTGAGTTAATATTTATCCATAACTACCTGTGTGACTACTGCTGTCACAGTCAAAGCATCAATAATGCCTTTGTTTGAATGGCAACAGTTAGATACCCAGATAAATGTGATAACCGTCTGCTGCCACCTAGTGGTAGAGTATTTGATCATCACTGTTGCGTAGACAAAGGAAGACAATTTATTCAATAAAAATAATTAATAGTTTTCCACATCACTCACTAAGACACCAACTAAATATTTACTAAGAGATTTGGCAAAATAATCTCCCAGAGAATTGAAGATTCTTTTGTACTTATTGTATTGTCTTTTTTTGTAGTTCACAGAGGGAAAACATACTTGCTGCAAGGGGCAGCCTGTCGCAGCAGATCTGCTGTTTACACAAGAATGGGATCAATAAAGATCGAATTATTAATTATTATTATTATTATTATTTGCTCTTTGATTATATTATACAGCCCCCTATTGGCTAATATACTGTATGTATCATCTGCAGCCACATCTACAGTTCACCATCATTCAACACCACTACTGAGCCACTGAAAAATTATATTATAAAGTATGCAGCAAACACATGTTTCATTATGTCACTTTAGGTTTATCAATGCCAGGAGAAGAATTGTCCAACCGATGATTGACCAGTCCAACCGCTCAGGTCAGTGTCGCTGCTACACACTGCTCTGTGTTTGCATAATATGGGACAGTAAACAATGTAAACCTGATCGTGTGTGTGTGTGTGTAATATGTCTGTGATGCCTCACAGGTCAGACTGGACCCTACAGTCCAGATCTAGCAGATTTAGGGGACTACGTTCTTGACAGACAGGCACAAACTGGTCTTCAAACAGCAGGTAAAGTAAACATCCACACATCCTACACCTTAGTCTTTAATGTCATGAAAGAAATTGTAACAAAAATTCTGTAAGAACTGTCTTTCTGTATTCATCAAAGAAGTAGTTTAAATACTACATATACTATTGTGTACTCCCAGTAATGTATGTAAAAATGACTGAATTCTCTTGTGAGCGTTCATTAGAAAGATGTTTTAAAATCCTATTGTCTCCAGCTGTTCACATGCTTTTTTTCTTCCATTGAAATTAAAACAACTCACTCACTCAAGTCGTTTTTCTGCTGTTCTAAATATACTGCCCCCTGTCTGCTTACTCCCTCAGGTCTTCCAGCCTTGTCCTCTCTGCAGGGTGACTACTCCAGTGCTCTCCTCTCCCAGCCTTGCTATCCTCCCCATCCAGGGTCCTCTCTCCACCTCTACCCAGGTCCACACTCACACCCTGCCGTGCTACTCCAACCACCTCGACACACACACCATACAGAGCCACTTCTTGCACAAGGATTGGACATACATGCACATTAGTTGCAGGGAAGTCAGGATGCGGGTTTGTGCGTAGTGTTGTAGATCGTAAGAAAAACCCACCACAAGACATTCCCACAAAAAGGCTCCGGTCGGAGGATACTGTCAACAGCACAGTGTCCAGTCATCACCATTTGTGCTTTATCCTCAATAACCCTTGGAAATAGAATATTCTATTGAAGAAGACCAAAACGTACAGATTTAGACCATGGAACTATTGACATGTAAATGAAGTGAGCAGTAGCCTTGCTTTTCTATAGACTTGATACCAATTCTTTGGTTGCTACTTCAGTGCTACTGTGTGGGCTCCATTTCATTAATATGGGCCGGGAAAGACTCTTGACTTTGTGTAATTATTTCATCTGGTAACATATAGGTAGACACCATCACCCCCCACACACAGTCTAGACCAGTGGTCACCAACGTGGTGCCCGGGGCACCTGGTAGCCCCCATGGACTACCTAAGGTGTCCACAGGCTATGTTCTTAAAATAAAACTAGTCAACAAGAGGGTCAAAGATTGTACTGTTACTGTGCTTTTTGAATCAGTTACAGTTGTAAATTATATTTAAATGGGTCCAATGATGATGATGTAAGAAGAGTGTCTGCTATTGTCTGTTCCAGAACTGATTATTATTACAGTGTTTGTGAAGTCTGTATTAAACAAGTAGCTCTCCGTATTACTAAGTGCCCTTGAAGTAGCGCTCATTTTCAAAAAGGTCAGTGACCCCTGGTCTAGACTCACAGGTTTAAGCCATAATGTCAGAGAGCAAGTGCTTCCTCCTCTCGTCCAATCATTCCACTGTGTGGTCTTTGGGTTCAAAGTCACTGGTAGACTGTGCAGATCTAGGAGCTTACTTAAATACACACACACAGACTCTCTCTCTCTCTCTCTCTCTCTCTCCCCATTTTTTATTCTCTCTGTTGGGAACACATGCACAAAATAATATTTAAACATTTAAAGTATGTTTATCTGTTACAGCTATTAGTGTAAGTACATGCAGTGTGTGAGTTTGTATGTGAGTGTGTGCTGTGTATGTGAAGGGAGATGCAGGAATAGACTGTATAAACATTGAGCTTCCTCTCCTACTCTGCCTGAACTGCTTACCGTTCCTGCTTCTAAAGATTCTTAACGTTGAGTGATATGGTGAAAGGATTAAAAGGACTTCTCTAAGATTTTGGTTTTTGTGTTTGTGTGTATGGTGAACAGTTAAATAAGGTAAACAACTTCATTATTCTTTTTCTGCCTCATCCTTATAGGTTTGGGACAAGGTTAATCAACTTCCTCCTGCATGTCATAAAAACTAGGCCTGTCCAAATTAACATATTAATTGTATTAAATAATTTGTGATTATTCATCAGTCATTATTGTTTAATAATCCCTTACAGGGTAGCTGGAGTCAAACCCAGCTGTCAGTATATATGAGCCGCTGCACCCTGGTCAGGTCTCCATTCCATTATTCAAAAATAGTTTGTCAGAAATGATTAAAAATGCACTAATTTACCTTAAAAAACATATCAGTGACCTTTTTTGTACTTATGACCACAGTATTTTACCATACTAATAAAATTCTGAAAAAGTGTTCAATAAAAAAAAGCTCTCATTACTTTAAAAAACATAGCATAAAAATTCGTCATTATTATGGTTTTTATAGCGAATTAGTCTATTTTTTTTTTCAATTCTGAGAAACTTTTATTTTTGAACACTTTTTCAGAATCAAATTACTATAGTATAATACTGTGGTCAGATCCCCTTTTTCAGCCCGGGAGTTTCACGCCCAAACCCGGCCCACTTTGCTGTGGAGTATATACCGTATATTGGATATATAATATAGCCATAATGCAATACAATAAAATCTTGTTTAAAACTTAATTCAAATGTGGAACACGGTAAATTGTACACTTGACTCAGTAGGTGGCAGTGATGTCCCTTAATGCCGATATCTAGGTTGGCTTAACCGGAAACGAAGAAGACAACGCGACACTACAAACATGAACAGACGCCAGGATATTTTGCAACTGTGATTTATAGGGAAGTCACGGGTGAGTTTGAACGGGGGGTGATAGCCGTGCGCCTTAAAAGCGGAAGTGGTAGTACTTCCCGGACAGGTGATGGTTGCAAAATGGCGCTGCGTCAGGGCACCAAAGAAAGCGTTTGCTATTGTTATGACGGTACGTATCCCATTTCTGGTACTCTTCACTTTGGCGAGTAACGCGTCATGTGAAGGACCAGTATTCTCCCGAACGTGAGAAGGGATTTAAACCAAACACGTTGCGGAACCGCCGAGTTGGGCAGCTGGTTAGCATGCTAAACAGTAGCTTGTTTGAGCCGCACGGTTTGTACGTTCAAGCGTGTTGAATTTTCTCTTCAGAATCCCTTCAGGTGTAGCAGCAGACCCATATCGCCATCTACTGGGCCGGTGGACTCCACCACGCCAAGAAGTCCGCACCATCTGGTTTCTCTTACGTGAACGCCATCGTCCTGGCCGTTTCTGAGTTGCTCAAGTAAGGAATCGTGAAAATATCGATAAAAATAAAAAGTCCCCGAAATGCCTTAAAATGCAAGATTAGGTCCTAAAACATGCTGCCACATGAATATTTTGATTTTAAAACTCCAAAAACTATTTTATACGAATATTTGAAAAATCACCCAAAACATGCTTTACCTTCATGCCTTATCTTACCCACAAAGCCATCTTTAAACCGGTGAGACTGTTTTACAGTGAATGCAATTGAGTTTTTTTCCTTACTTTTCTGTGGACAAGCAGTGTTTCTTTTACTTTTTTAAATTTGCGTCTTGGGTTTAGATCATGGCCAGAGTAATGGAGATGTACCAGGCGAGCGCAGTGGTCCTTCAGTGTGGAGCTAATTCAGTGTCACCGGAAAAATGCAAAAAAATAAAAAGTTCCAGAAATGCCTCAAAATGTAAGTTTGTGTCACAAAAGAGTGATTGACACCAACTGGACAAATCCAGTACAGACAAGAATAACTACAGCCAGAACAATTAGTAGTGTTATTGCATTTACTTTATTTGTCTTTGCAGATATAAGGGAGGAAGAGAAGGACATTGGGGTGAGAACTTTGAAGTTTGTGCTAGATGAAGAGTTGTTTTTGGCGTATTGCATTTACTTTGTCTTTGCAGAAGAGGAGGAGAAGATGGAAACATCAGGGTTAGGACATTGTCCAAATAAAGTATCTGTATTTATTACTTGAATTGTTGAAGGTGAAAGTAGTGGCACATGGCAAATAAGTGGTTTGCTTTAGTAGATAGTAGTTGTTAATTGAAGTGTTGTGTAACATGCTAGTGCTAAACACTTTCAACATTGTGTGGTCATCTGGGAGTGTTTGTATGAATGTTGTCTTTATTTCATCTTGTTTCAGGCCAAAAGAGGTTTAACCAAGTTGTTCCACTCTGTTGAATCCTGTGAGCACATGTGATTGACAGTAGTGTTGTGAGTATGTGATCTGTCCATCTGAAATGTTAAACTAAAGCTAAGTTAATGTTGTAATTTGACATGTATTGTTTTTAAATGTGTATCTATGGACTTTGTGATTGGATGCATGTCTTGTAAATGAAGTGTTTTGCTATTAAAAGACTCGAACCTTCTTCTTCCGTACATTGTGGAAGTAAGTATTATTTTTAAGTAAGTATTTTTACAAAACATTTTTACCTATACCTTTGACTTTGCTATTAAAAGACTCGAACCTTCTTGTTGTTCATTGTGGAAGTATTCTGGTTGGGTTTTTAACTTACTGCTTATCTGGAAATGAATGCATATATGCACACAATAATCCCTGGAGTTTTAGCACAAATTATTCACTTGACATGTGACATTGACACTTGACACAAATACAGCTCACAATGAAAGTGACTATTTCACAATACCATTAAGGCGCAATCAATTTTTACCTAAGTAAAAGAAAATTCTCTTTCTCTACCTTTGAAAGAAGAGGCATCTTCTGGAAGGTTTACAACAGTCTTTTAAGTCAAACACAATTAAAGTACAATAGCATTAAGGCACAATGAATGGAATGAGCTGGAATAACCCTAGGTGCAAAGGCCAAAAAAAATTGTTGCTAAAAAGTGACTTTGTTAAGTATCAGACAGTAGCATTAAGGTCTTTGTGTCTATGTGTGTGTCTGTGTGTGTTTGTGTGTTCCTATACTGCATGACTTGTGTCAACTTTTCCTCATATTCATTAATACTCATATTCTGGGACAAGATGAAAATCATTGCAAGGACAAACAGTGTGTGCAGAAATGTGAAGGACCGCACAAATGTTAAGACAATGACAATAGCATACAAGACACAATGAATGACAACAATGAGCTCGAATAACACAATCAATAGCTGTCTGTGCAGGTTCTCAGTCATTTAATCCAAAAATAGTTACATTGAGGGCAACTGGACAAAGTAGGTTTTTTTAAAGCCATTTTTCATCCAAGAGGCTTCTTCAGTTCTGCTGAACTAAAGAAGCCTCTTGAGGAGAGGTAGAAACTACCTTGTCCAGTTGCCCTCAATCAAAAGCTGTGTTGGTCTCATTTACCTCTTGCCGTCAGGGTGGAAAGCCACACAGTTAATGGGACCAGAATGACCTTTGACTCCTGCCAAACTCCTCCTCGTACACAGCTTGGAAGAACCTGCAGATTAGAAGAACACGTCATTGTGCCACATGTTAAAACAAACAAAGAGGTTTTCCTTAAAACCAGCTACAAAGTAGTCACTTCCACAGCACAATCAAATGTCACAACAACAATACTACAAATTCAATGCTTTAAACAGACATTCCATCACTACATAAAGGCCTTTTTTTGTAACAAAGTCCTGGCTTCTTCAGTGCTAATGCTAATAAAACAATGGAATAAGGTACATCTGTACATTTTCTTCATCTGTCTCCTTTGTCTAGATGAAGACAACAGTCACTGTATGCTTTATTCAACCACACAAAAACACTCACCTGGCCTCAAACATGCCAATCCTGGTGGAGGTTGTGGTCACTTCCATGGCCTCCTGCCCACCTCCCATAAGCACCTACAACACACACGCAATTGCAAGGTTCAAGGTTACTGTTGATCTACTAGGATACACATTGCACATTGACAAATTCATCTGACATGATCCATGATTGGAGAAACGGCGGCAGAGTTCACCGGTCTCTCAGTTTTAAAAGTCTAGATGTGATCCACACAAAGAGCTGCAAAGACAACACATGGCACTTAGTCATTTGCACACTACGTACAGCAGTGATTATCAACTGTCAGTCCACATCTTGGATTCCAAAACAACCATTAAATAATTTCATTTTCACTCCACTCTATCTGGGTGGTTGACGTAGAGCCTTTAACAGCCTCACACAGGCTGAACTAAGCAAACTTGAACTAAGCAAACCTTTATTCAAGTAGTCAAATAGTTTCTCTTCAAGTCACAGTCAAGTCACTTAGCTTTATTGGACTGCAATTTGTCAACATTAAAAAGTAACACAAAACCATAACAGCCAGTTCATTTCAAACTGTACCACTTATTTCTCCTAAGATGTACTTCAAATAATCTAAAGTCTATTTCTGTGGATATTTTTGTGGATTCACATTACGAGAGGTCTGTAGTTTGGACAGATTGACCAACACGTCTAGACTGAAGGAAAATGTCATTGTAAATAAATGAACAAGTGGACACAGTCAGAGTAACCACACCTACTACTGTGTGGGTTTTTGTGAATCTTCTTATAACCACCATCAAACTGCAAATGTTTACTTCAGTTTACACATACTTACTGTATATAATAAACTATCAATAAATATCTTCAATTACATTCACTTATTTCTGTTGTTCTAGTTTGGAGCGGGGGTCTCGAGCACAAATGACTGGAGGATCACCTCATAATTCCATACATATATAAACAGCGACAAATCCAAGAGTTGAAAGGAAAACAATAACTCTTTTCTTTGTTGAAGACTTCCATTCGGCAACTGGACATGACATTTTCACTCAACAGAGGAGGTGGGCTAAGACACAACCTATCACCCACACACTGAAACCATTCTGCTGAGGATAACAACGACCCATCAGGACTTCTGTACAATATTGACAAATAAACAACAACAACAACAAAATGTTCCTCATTATCAAAGCTTTACAAACGATGCTGTCTGTGATTCATTATTTTCTTCAGTATTTCATTTATATAACACTGTGTGCAAACTATTACTTTAGCAGTAATCAGGAAGCCGTGTACTATGTGCAGTCTCGTTTATTTTACAGTATTAATTTGTTCACGTTGCGCGTGATGATTACCTACCGATCTGTGGATCACCCCGGGTCGAACAAGTTCATGTAACACTGACAGCCCAACTGCTCGTCCGCGGAAAACATGATGATGTTGCAGCTGAAATCGAACCCATGTGTTCTAATAGTAGACATTAAAGAAGGGACACAGAGCAAAAATTAAACACCAATATATAAAACTCTTGGGAAATGATCCAAAATACGATTACACACTCATAGACTAATATGTCTGCTGGAACTGCCTACACAGCTAACTGTTTATTTAATTTAAGTATTTCACTACTCAACTATTTACACTGCATATATTATATATTTATTTTATATACTTGTTCACATCCTTATAATTATACTACTTCTGCTTATATATACATAGCATAAGTATCATGTGGTATACTTTACTATACATACACATCATACTGATTTAATTTAGAATAACAACACTGACAGTGTGTGTGACACGCCAGCATACCGAGCTAAATAACATAAAAGGATAGAGTTTATTACTATCCTATAGTCATTGGTGGCACTTGTTAAGTGCAGTCTTTTCGTGTCACTCACTGGACCTTTAGCGACGGAAAACAGGTCTCCTTCTCCGTTGTACTTGATCTGAGGGATGGATCGTTCGTGGCCCTGCAGTAAGATGGGTTTCTGTACAGAAAAGCAATATTTGCAAGTTAATTTCATATTTTCAAAAAATGCATCAGCCCAGCTCAAAGTCCAATTTCGTATTTAGCACGACAACTCTATGTTCATTATTTAGGACGAAAACTAAATACAAATCATTTTAACTTCCGACAAAAGCTAACGTTAGCTGCCGATACACATATGCTAGCGTAAATTGCACTAACGGTCTCGACCGAACGACTACCATTTCAAACAACATACAACCGACAATTGTTTTAATCACATATTTTGTTTAATCGCATATAGTCATCGTGTCCATTTTTTTTTTTACTTAAACGCACGCTAGAAGCCCAAACGGCTAACATTCATGTCTCATCCGCCGGATCCGCAACCGGAAATAAGGAGCGTACAACGTATTCCTATTTCCGTTATACAAATGTTCTAATAGCGCGTCCCCTACACTTGACCGCTTACATTCACGTTCTTGTTTTTTTTTTTTTTTTTTTTTTTTTTTTTTAGTTTAGTAGAACTTTTTCTTTGATAGAAAGAGAGTGCTTTGACGACTGTAACAGAAAAGCTCATTGGTGTAAATCTACAAAAACAAATAATTTAAATACAAAATAATTTCAAATGGTTTTTTAGTTAAATGTCCATTTCTGTGGTTAAAATTCAGAAAAAATATACTTTTTTGGTACGCCAACTTTTGATCACAGTGAAATACTAGACCAATAGGTTCCTGATCAAATCTCAGAAAATAAAAGTTTCTCAAAAATGATTAAAAATACACTAATTTGCCTCAAAATACTTAGCTATGTCCATTCCTGTTGTTAAAATTCAGAAAAAATATCCTCTTTTGGTACGCCAACTTTTGCTGACAACAAGGCTCTTCAAGATTTTCCAGGTCCAGGACCCCTGACTGATGGAGAGAATTAAACTGGAAAAACAACAGTCGATCCTGCTTTATGAAAAAGACAATCAGACAACAGTTAGTTCTGTTGTATGAAGACAATCAGACAACAGTTAGTCCTACTGCATGAAGAAGACAACCAGACAACAGCCAGACTTGCTGTATAGAGAAAACAGCCAGTTGTTGTTACTGTATTAAGACATTCAAATAACAGCTGTTCCCGTTTTTCTACTTCCTGTTGGTTCATAATCCTGCTGTCGCATCAGTTCTCTAACAGTTCTGCCTCCTCTCTGCAAATAATCCCATTAAACTGTGAGATTGTTCCTGGTGGAGCAGCCTGTGAGTTTGTGAGCAGAGTCAGAGCTGCTGTGTTGTAAATGCTAGTCTAAAGATAGAAGGCAGCAGTGAAGGGGGTCTGGACGGATTTAATTCCAAATCCACCACATTCCACACTCTTCCCTGCTGGATGGTTTTCAAGTTTTCTAGCTCCTCACAGCAGGAAGTCTGGCATGTTACCCACCACAACACGAGGATCAGCACAGAGGAAGGTGCCATGAAGGGGAAATATAAGAACGTCACATTCCAACACTTTGACTGTAATAAATCTTCTCTGTTTAGTTTGAGTCTAACAGCTTCATCCTGTCCTGGCAGCATCACCACACACTGATTCCTGAAAATGGAAAGATGTATTTCTACAATGCTTGACCCTGATGTACAACATGTAAAAAGATATCTGTTTCTCCCAGTAGCACCGGTAGCAGCCACAGTTATTGACAGCACCTTTAGAATGTATACAGTAACTTTTGTATTCATATGTTACTCACCTCCTAACCCTAATAGAATCAGATCTACCCTTGTATCTCCAGGGAGAGCACAAGTACTACAAGTGGGAAGTGTACCCTAGTTTGAGAACCACCGCTTTAGACCTATATAGTCAGACAGGTATGTTGATTTCTGTTGGTGTCTAATGTTAATGACTGACCGTCTCTGTCTGGAACATCTTTGTTATTTTATATAAACCCACTCTCTGCAGCTCAGTTTAATCTTCCAACCTCCGCCCTGACTACATGGCTAAGTCCCTCATGCTGCTGTCCTGTGATTGGCTAATGAGATAACTGCTTGAACAAGCAGTAAAGCAGGTGCACCTATTAAAGTGGCCAGTAAGTGAATGTTCCATTCAGTGCATTTAACAGCTTTAAGTGTTTACTGACTGACAACAGGTTTCGTCTGACTGAGCTCCAAACCCTGCTGAGAAAATCAGTATTTTTACAGCCATGCTCCAAAATCCTTAACTCTCCCTTTAATGTGTCCTGGTGAATGAAGTGGGATTCTATGGACCCCTTCACTGACCACTGAAGTGATCAAACCTCACAGCATCAACATAATCATGAGTCAGTAGCTCCTCACAGGATGAACATTTTTTTAGCAAAGAGGAAATAAACGTTGGTCAAACACAGCTCGAGTGAGGGCAGTAAAAATACCAATGTACCGACTATGACCACTTTAACAATAAATACCAATGTACCGACTATGACCACTATGGGGCGCTTTAACAATGGCACCATGTCATATATTGACTGGTCGAGAGCGGTTGGTGCTTTTGCTTCACAGAATGTCTCTCAGTATAAACTCTGTCTACATTTACTGGCTGTGGATCATAAGACAAACACGTTCACTTTCACACTCATTTTCACGAGTGAGTGTGAGTGTTTTATGATCTTTGAAAGTTTAAGGTTGTTAGGAAGAAATGTCGTCGTAAAGAAGCATACGTCTATTCATAAACAAAACACAAATCAATCTAATCAATACTTGTTTCTCTAACACCGACCACATGGTGGAGCGTTCACTTTGTGCTCAAATCCGTACAAAAGCACACAAAAACATAAGCTTTTTTCATCCTGTAGAGAAAACTCCTTCTACAGAACCTCCTCCTCCTGAACTGCTCTCTCTCACAGACAACACTGATTTATTGATCTGTTCTATGTTCTATCAGATCACTGAGTGTGACGACAGGTAGACACATCGTAAACACCTTGATTTGTCACCATTAGGCTTTTCTCTTTAATCATCGCCATCTTCTGCTAGGTTATCGCTCCTCTTCCTCCCTCATCCTCATCCTTAAAAACATCTGCTGGGGTTTATGTCCATTTCCAAAGCATCTGCTGTGCTCGGGTAACATTCTGTTGCTCACTAAAAGCTGCTATAATTCCCACTGCTCTGAATGGCTGCAGTGTCAGAAAGCAGGATTTACTCCACTCTTGGTGGAGTTGGCGATCCTGATTAAAAGCTGCCGAGGGTTTTGAAAAGATAAAATCGTCAGCTCAGATTTATGCTGTGGCTGTAGACCTGGAAAGTAATGTTTCTGTCTGTCTCACCTCTTCTCTCTGCCTGCTTTACGTTGCTGTCAATGCTTCTCGGTTTTAACTTTTATTTCCATCTGAATTACATTTATTTCTCCACACTGTTCTTTCAGAGAATTAAGCTCTGTTTGGATAAGAGAATGAAAATAAACGACCAACACAGACGAAATTAATATGAGACAAAACTGTCATCCTATAATGCATAAACTAAGCTGAGCATATACTGTATATATGTAGAGAGAGAGAGAGAGAGCGAGAGGGACATGCATTTAGGAATGGAATCCTGGTCCTAACACCAGAGTTGCTGTTAATTATTAATAAGAGATTTGTAGAAGCAGGCTGGACCCAAATGCAGGACGCGGGAGATATTATCAGTCCAAACGGAATAATCAGGCAGGGATCTGAGAACACTCTGGGAAACCAGGACCAGGCAAAAAAACAGGGAACTCTATGGGAACACAAACAGGAATGACACATATGAAACAACAGCCTGACAAAGACCAAGAGAGGGAGAGGAGGTATTTATACAGAGGGCACCAGGTGACACAGGTGAGAGTGATCACACTGATCAACCTGGTAAACAGACAGGAGGGAAGGACGGACAGACCCGACACGACCAATCACAGCTCATCAAACATCACATGATGGTTGACTTGTCAGTGAGCACCACGACACTCACAGATTAATACAAACTCACAGTACTTCCACAGCTGGTACTACTTGTGTACGTCCACCATATCAAGTATGAACAGAACCAGGACCTATTGTATATGCCTTCCTAATGTGCAGGGACAATTATCAGGAACTACGTAATGTACCAAGAACTGTGCATGTCTGTACTGGCACCAGAAACTACGTGCATTTTTACCAATTGAACAAAAACATAGTATTAAGAATATTATTATTATCATCATTATTTTTATTTTTAACTCTGACAACAAATGGAAATTGTGTTATTAAAATTACACTGCTGCCATCTGGTGGACATTTTTTTGTCACATTAAGATCCTGCGATTTTATAAAAACATTTCATAAACTGTAGGGAGTGGAGCCTGAAGCACAAATTTAATTGGTCCAGATTAGAGGTGCAATCTTAGGGCAAATTCCAATTTACAATTTTTTGGAAAGCGTGATTTGCTGAAACAGATTCTTGCTCGTTTTTTCCACTTTTATCAATTGACAGCATTCACAAAAAATAAAAAGTGTTCTGCTGCCCAAAATGTTTATACTCATCACAAGTAATTATTAAACATTTCCAACAATTTCACTCCTTGGTATTTTTAAAATAAATATTTTTTATAAAAATATGAAATAAATTATATATATATATTTAAATATTCCAATTACTCCATATTTGCTCACTTTTTATTGCACTGTAAACTGTATACTGAAAGATTCCATGTATCTATCATTTGACCAACTATATTTAATAAGTTCCAGTCAGTAACTCGATCCAAAACTATGACATTTTTTAGCCAGTTCCATTTGGATCATCAGATGCTTAAAGTGACCTTAATCAAATTTTATTTGAATCAGACACACAGTAACGGGACGTGGAACTGATTTCATCGGTTCCAGTTTAAAGCTTGTCCAAGTTCACTCTGGACATCAGATGTTTCTTGGAATTCTTCTCAGGCCTCAGGAGGAGGACGTAGCACTTTGGTGCAAATATGCAGCCCAGGAGGCCAAAACTGGACGCCAAGATGGCAAACACCTCTGTGAGCGTGGAGTACTTTCCCGGGGAGGTGATGTAGGCAGGAATGAAGGCGACCCACACAGAGCAGAAGATGAGCATGCTGAAGGTGATGAGCTTGGCCTCGTTGAAGTTGTCTGGAAGTTTCCGAGCCAGAAATGCTAAGATGAGGCAGAGACAGGCCAACAGGCCGATGTAGCCCAGAACCAGAGCGAAGGCCACGGGCGACCCTTCATCACAAAGGAGGATGACAATCGGACTCTCGCGTGGCATCAGTTTACGAGGAGTGGGCGGAGCCACAACCAGCCATACTGTACAGATGATCACCTGAAGGAGCATTTTGAAAACACTGTGATGTTTTCACTGAAGATGAAAGATTCTCAGTTCTCCGCCAGGAGGAACATTTGGCTTTGAGTTGCATACGCTTTCACAATCAGTGTGTATCAATAATAAAGAAACAATAAGACTGGTGAAAGTCATGAACCTTCACACATCTCACACCACAGTGTCATCCGCACCGTCTCACCTGGATCAGCGTGGAGAAAATGATGATGGTTTTCTGCTGTGCTCGACCAAACCACTTCATGATATTCCTGCCTGGAAGTGTTGCTTTGAAGGCCATCAGCACCACCACGGTCTTCCCCAGGATACAGGAGACACACAGGACGAAGGTAATGCCAAAGGCCGTGTGTCTCAACATGCAGGACCACGGAGACGGGCGGCCGATAAAGGTGAGGGAGCAGAGGAAGCAAAGGTTGAGGGAGAAGAGCAGCAGGAAGCTCAGCTCAGAGTTGTTGGCTCTGACGATGGGCGTGCACCTGTGGCGCGTGAAGATGAAGAGGACGCTGCAGGTGCAGAAGGAGCCCAGCAGGGAGATGGTGGTCAGGGTGATGCCGATGGTATCGCTGAAGGACAGGAACTCCACCGCTTTGGGGACACAGGCCGTCATGTCCTGATTGGACCAGAACTCTGGCAAGCAGCGCATACACTCAATAGAATCTGAGAGAAAGTCAGGGGTTCAGTGAGACAGGGGTCACAGACTGTGATGACCTTCAGCTGCTGCACTGCTCAAGGTCAAAACACGAGATGAAATTCTGTTTCAACTTTCTTTTAAACATTACACAGATGAGTTTAAACTATAAGTCAGTATTTATGAAGGTCATGTGGAGAGGATCTGATTCACTGTGACCTGACACTGACTGAGGAGGTGTCGTGTTCCTCACCTGTGTGTTCACTGATCTCTCCAGCTGTACAAACCACACAGTCGTGGCAGCAGATGGGAAAGTTTGGTCTGATGGCTTTCCTGGTCCCTGGAGGACAGATGTGGCTGCACACAGACAATGGAACCTGAAAGAAAGAGGTCACAGGTCAAACTGCACTAATGAGTTGAACGCTCACACCGACCGGGATCCAGAGTTTGGACAACATGTCACCAAAACTAATTTCTGTGTCCTCCAATCTTTTCTGAGTCAACTGTGATTGTACTAACTAGTGCCCCCTTCAGACTTTAACTAGTAGCTGAATGTAAACCAGCTCTGAACCCAGTCCTTACTGCGGTTTGGTTTCCGTTCCACACGATGTTCTCCTCCTGAATCTGGAGTTCTTGTTTTCCAGCCATTTCATCAAATCTGCCGATGTTCACGAACTCCATGTGTCCACTGGGTCCCAGGTGCCAGTTGACCAGGTCGTACATGGCGGCTGGGTCACCGTTCTCATCAAACTTGGTCTCATCCCCGAATGAGTTCAAGTATCTCACCTGTTTGATGAAGTGAAGCAACTATGGAGCAGAAAATAAATGATAAAGTTACACGATGAAAGTTAGAGAAAAATATGGTTAAATATTGTAGTAGTGATAGTATAAAATAGTTTATAAATAAATAGTATAATAGTGAAAGAATACTATAGAAATATTCAAATAAAAAATAAAAAAGAAGCTGCAAGATGTTGAAAAATAACTGAAGACAGCACATAGCCATAGAAATATCTTCAGCAACATGTGTTTAAGTGTCACCTGGTACGGCTGGATGTCCTCTGGATCAGGACAGCTCTGCAGAGGGGAAGCTCCTGGAACACAGCGCCTCATGTTCTGCAGAGCGTGAGCGATGGCATACACAGCTTTGTAGACGTTGTAGGAGATCCTCAGCTGGGAAACGTCCGAGTAGATGTTTGTCACCTTTCTCAGGTCTTCTGCTCCAGAACATGGAGGTCTGTACTCCTGGTGCTCAGTCTTCAGAGCAAGGCTGCACTGAAACACCTCCTCCCAGAAGGGAACCAGGAAAGGATCTCCAGGAGAATCATCGCTGGACGGATGTAATCTTAGCAGGAAGTCCTGGAGTCCAGGAATGTCAGCATGCCTGATGGCAAACCCCATAGAACCCTGGAGGATCTGATGGTACTTCCTCGGACTGGAGAGGACAGCAGCTGTACTCCAGGCCTCACTGGCCAGCCACTGGATCCCAGTCAGACCCTGTCTGGACACAACCATGGGTTTGCTGGTCAGTGATTCAAGGTGCAGTGTTACTGAAGATGGTGAAAAGAAAACAAACCTGAGAACTTCATCGAACAGAGCTGCAGCATCCTGCTCCACTGCAAACACGAGAACAACTCTGGCTCGTGACGAGCGGATCTTTGAGATGATCCGTGAAACTCCAGCCTGGTCTCTGTTCTTTGGGAGGATCTCATGAAGAGCAACACATGCTCCGAACTGTCTGACCTAAGAAGAACCAAAGACAAAAAACGAGATTTAAGTTAGGTTAAGTTTTACACATCTCTCTCATGTCTTTCTTTTTTAAATTGTTTTTGTTGTAGTAAACTCAAAAATCTTTTTTGATGTATAATTTTAGTTTCATTCGTATCATCAAAGGAAAAGTCATCACTGATCTGTTGGCTAGTTAAGTCTTTGTTTGGACAACTCTGGTCCTTTAGTCTATTTATAGCTGGTGTCAAGGGTTAACCTTCACAAAACTTCTCTCTCAAAAATATTGCGCCACCCTGTGGCCACCCAGAAGTGTTTTCTGTAAGGACTCCAGAGCTGTGTCTGGATGTTTCAGGAGTCACTATTCGACTTGTGTTTTACCTTATCGGCAAAAATACTGGCTCCTCCTCGGCCATAGGCGTCGTCTCCGGCCACGACGCCCACCCAACTCCAACCAAAGTGCTGGACCAGCTGAACCAGAGCATCCACCTGTCAGCAGACACACGTTACACTGTTAAAGTTGTGTAAGTGTTTCTCGTTGTAGGCGTCTGCTCCACCAATATTTGTGTGACCTCTGACCTGAAAGAAGTCACTGGGCATGGTCCTTAAAAAGGCTGGGAACTGCTGTTTGTCACTGAGACAGGCACAGCTGGAGAAATAACTGACCTGAGCAGACAGAAAGATAAAAAACACAATAACCAATAACAACAATAACCAAAGGTTCGGGAAGTCAGGTTCTGAAATTTAAAAACCAATTCATTGGCGATCCTCCTCAACGGCAGTGTAATCACTGATCCGTCCACAAGATGTCTCTGTTAACCACACCCTTAACTGAGGACTAACGCGATCGTTGTTATTATTATTCTTATTTAACTTTGACAATAGTTGGACAAACCATTTATTTAACTCTGTGTTAACAAACGCTGCTGCTGAGATTTTTAACATGAACAACAACATCACAACATGTCAGCTGAGGACAGTCAGTCTGCCGTCACCTGCTGCTTCACTGACTGTGGCTACAGGCAGACTGACTGTAGTCACAGTCAGTGAAGCAGCACGTGTTCACCAGTCTCTGTTAGCGGGGCCTGAAGGTAAACATGAGGATGTTTCATTCTGTTCTCCTCTAACTAGGAAACATTGTCCATGTGTGCATGTGTTTGTTCAAGGAGGACACCAGTACCAGGAACCAGACACAGAACTAGGAACAGGTCCAGGTACAAGTCGTTGAAGTTGGAGCTGGACTTAGATCCTGATGTTGTTCCTGGTCATAGTGCTTGCCTCCAAGAACTACAAAGTATTTGCTACTTTCTTCAGTTTAGCCCAAAATTTACCAAGACTAGTTTTTCTGCCCATGGTTCCTAACTCTTATTCTTGGTACAATTTGCTGGATCTAAAACACAATTCTAGAACCCACCTGTGGCACGTGGAACACCCCCAGGAACCGAGCCACAACCAGAGACTGAGTGGATCCTCCATCTCCGATCACAGCCAGAACTCTGCCTGAACAGTTCCCTCCACTCTGGGTCACATTCTCCAGAATGGTCTTGGTTCCCATGAGCTCCATAGTGCCCCTCAAGGCCTGGTGAGGTGTACTGCACGAGTCATAGATCTTGTAGCCCAGGGTGATGTTGGGAAGGAGTCGCTGGTCTCTGTTGATCTCCTCAATGGCGAAGATCATGGTCTGCATCCAACGGAAGGTTCTGAAGTTAAATCTGTAGAACAGAAATTCATATACAAAGAAACCGTTTCTTCTTCTGTTCAGCTTTCAGAGAGCTTATCAAACATTTAAATCAAAAGAGACGTCGATAAAACACTTTCACTGAACTTTGTTTTTGCTCATTCTGAACCAACAACAAGAGAATATTTTTTTCAGTTTGTTTTTCACCACCTGAGGTTGAACACATCTATAATATGACCAGGATGTACAGAAGCCTGGTTGGACAAATCAAAGTCAAAGGTCACAGAGGTGAGGACTGAAGCCTCCAAGGTGGGACGTTAAAGAGTAAAGGGACCTCTTACCTGGTGCACTGTGTTGGAGCAGGTGTGGAGGTGTAGGAGACCGTGTGCTCCACCACCATGTCATGGAGAGAGAAGAGTCCACCCAAGGTGATGTCGCCCTCTTTCTGCAGCACAGGTAACGACATGGAGCCTGGGATTATTTCACACTGTGGGTTTTCCTCTTGTTGGGAACAATGGGAGAAAATCCAACACAACATTACAACCAAATGACTGAGTCTGATCAGAGAGAAAGAGCAGTCTCCATATTTAATCCTAGAATAATCCATCCTGTCATTAGACAGAAGGTTTCACACCGCAGACAAAGATCTGAGCAAATGAACACCCGACGTTTTCAAAGGTTTTTTACAAAGTTGAGAATAAAAGTCATTGTGACAGAACTATTATCACCATCAGAGCAGAGAAAAGACTGAGACCATAAACAACATCTAATCACAGGTGAACTTCATTAACGTCACTCTTTCACCACCGACACAGTGTCCTGACTCTGGGTTTATATACGTCCTCTGTCACTGCTCTCCGATTTCCCTCAGGGCTGGTGAAAAACCAGCTCTGACATTTCACACTGGTCAAAAACAACAACAACAAAGTGAGCTTTTGATGAAGACGGAAAAAGACAACGTCTGTCTCCTCAGATCATCGCGCCTGAGCGAGAACCAACTCATCCTTCAGTGATGTTAAGAGACAGAACGAGGACTCCAAGATCACCAGAGGCTGCCACAATACCTCCAGATAAGAAGGCTGGTTGAATAAAAGGGTTTTGGATTAACAGATTAGGGTTAAAGGAAACAAGTAACCACATTAAAGATGAGTTCGTTATGAGTTAGTGATCTCAGAGTCACGTGTCTGTGAAGATTCTCACTCAGTCAAACTCTTGCTTTAACGTAAGCCAAGATCAGAGAAGACAGTTAAAGGTCATTTAAATGTTAGTCAGGAAATATTACAAACATTTATCAAAAGGTACAGTCTTTCAAGAGTAACCAATTAGAAAATAATGGAACCTAAGTTTAGCTAACAGCTAGGCTACAGCTAGTTTTTCAAAATGAAAGAAGAATTGAGTTTAAATGTTAGGCAAAGATTTGCTGATGATTTCCATGTCTTTTTGTAATTATTAATAATGTACTAATCATCAGTGGTATTAACATATCATGTTTAATGAGTGAAGTTAATGATGAGGCCTGGGGTGAAAATACTGTATTATTAGGAGCAGAAATACTAAAGCCAGTAAAACAGAGGGAGGATGATGATGAGGGTGATGATGATTCCACTGTTGCACTGCCTCAGGCCTTCTTCACCTAATCATGTGTCCCTGAGAGCATGTGTTAGCAGAGGAAACATCAGTGTGGTGCTAATGAAAACATACACACTGCAGCTTTAAAAGCTGTAGAAGTTTACTGACTGTTACTGAAGTTTACTGACAGTTACTTAAACATCTCACAGGACTAAAAGTTGTCAAAGTACTAAAGGTTTGTTTGTGTGGTAGGTCTTCATAATCACTTGTATGTCAGGTGTGAAGTGACCGCTGTTTTAACTGGTTTAAATGTTATTTTAATACAGCAAAAATCTATTTTAATTATACAAACAGATTATTTCTTTTTTATTTAATTGTCTTAATGATGAGTGGATACACTTTTTCCCTGATGGCGAAGAAACTTAGAAAACAACTTGATTAAAGTGAACAGCGGTGAGACTCAGGTCCTTCTCCTGAGGTTTGTGTGATTCAGGATAATTAAAGCCTGGGAGGTTCAGACTGTTGACAGTGTCTCTACGTGCGTGTGTGTGTGTGTGTGTTGACAGATGTGATAACAGTGTGTCAAACAGTGTGCGGAAGTGGTGGAAGTGGAAAAGAGAGGAGACAAAGGTGATTAGTACCAGGTTCTGACTGTGAGTCTAACAATTATTAATTACTAATAATTAAATAAATCTCTCCACTTTTGTTTGGACATCACAGATTTCAATTAAAAAAAGAAAGCATCGGAAAAGGTAGAAGCAACTTTGTGGTTCAATCGTTGCATGTTGGTTAACTTTAAAGTATTTCTGTACGAACCTTCAGCTGTAGGATACAGAGAAATGAGCTCATTGTTCCCTGTGATCTTCAGTGAAACCTCAGGGGAGGTGGAACCACTTTAACCGTGTTTTAATGGGAGTGAGACCTGTCCATTTATCTCTTTTCCCATGAGGCAGAGACTGGAACATTAGAGGGGAAGCAGGCAAGAAAAGACAAGCAGGAGTTTCCCATGAGTCAGTGAAGGGCAGAGGCTGAGGCTGGGGAATAAAGTCATCCTAATGAGACAACGGAGAGAAAAAAAAAAGATTAAAATAAACATTCCATAAAATGGAAAATAAAGCAGAAATTAAATATGATTTAGTAGTAGACATTTAAAGTAAGCATAAAATTCTTAAATATTTTATATTAAAGTTTATTAAACAAAACAAACATGGTTACTTATGCAAAAAGAGTAAATGATAAACGTTTTTCTTCAAGAAAAATTCTTTAAAAAGTCTTAACATTGAAAATCAATGAATTCTGTCTGGACATAACAATAAACAAAGTTTATCACAACATGCGACGTAATCACTGAGTAACAAGAACCAGAATAATTAACATCTACTTCACATCAATAAAGTTCTCAGGCATTTAACAGTAAAGTCACTCTAGAACTTCCTAAAGGTGTCAGTGTTAAATTAACTTTGTTTTAGTCAAAAGCTGTTTGATACCCAGGACCAAACCTTTCTTCCTACATTTTAAAGTTAACAACATGACTGACTTCCTTCATGTGTCACTTTTTCATCCTCCAAATGAGGTGTTTCCCCAACATCACTAAAAGTAATTTGTTTTACACCTGAATGAATTTTTTCATGTCTGCGCAAACTGGACTTTAGAGTAAATCCTTTACCACATTGAGAGCAACTGAATGGTTTCTCTCCTCTGTGATTCATCTCATGTACCTTCAGACCACTCTTCTCAGCAAAGCAAATGCCACAGACAGAGCAACTGAATGGTTTCTCTCCAGTATGTGTTCTCAGGTGAATCAACATTTCATCTTTTCGTCTAAACCATTTTCCACATTCAGAACAACTGAAGGGTTTCTCCCCGGTGTGAATCCTTTCATGTTCCTTCAGCTTGCTCTTCACAATAAAAGCTTTACCACACTCAGAGCAACTATAAGGTTTCTCTCCTGTGTGACGTCTTTGATGTATCTTCAAGCTGCTTTTTTGTGAGAGCCTTTTCCCACACTCGGAGCAACTGAAGGGTTTCTCTCCTGTGTGAATCCTTTCATGTTTTCTCAGATCGCCATGTTTTATAAATCCTTTTCCACAAACTGAGCAGGAAATTGGTTTCTCTCCCGTGTGAATCTGAAGGTGTTTCCTAAGATCCCCTTTCTGATTGAATCTTTTGTTACACTCAGAGCAACCATAGGGTTTCTCTCCAGTATGAGTTCTCCTGTGCAGCTTTAGTTTGGCATTTTCAGCAAAACTTTTGCCACACTCTAAGCAGCTAAATGGCTTGTCCCCAGTATGAATTCGCATGTGTATCTTTAACTTACCCTTTACAGTAAACATTTTACCACAGACAGGGCAGTTAAAGAGTTTATCTCCCGTGTGTCGTTTCTTGTGAATCTGCAAACTGCTATTTTGCGTAAAACTTTTTCCACAATCAGAGCAACTATATGGTTTCTCTCCTGTATGAATTCTCTTATGGATTTTCATCTTGGCCTTTTCCGTGAATCTTTTCCCACAGTCAGAGCAACTGAAAGGTTTCTCTCCAGTATGGATTCTCTCGTGCACCTTCAGACTACTCTTTTGAGTAAATCTTTTCCCACACTGAGAACAACCAAATGGTTTCTCTCCTGAATGAGTATCCTCCTGTCTCAGCAGAAGAAGGTTGTCATTAATTTCCGCCTGAAATACAGAACAACTCGGTTCCACACCAGTGTTACCTGTCATACCACTGAAGACTGTTTCATTTGTGCCCATCTTTGAATTCAGCGGTTCATTGGTTATGTTCCAATCATCTTCACTGTCTTCAGTTTCAGACAACTGTTCTGCCTCATCCTGAGGACCAAGTCCTAAATGTCCATCTGGAACTGTCTTCCAGGCTGAATCTGATTTGTCAACGTCTACTCTGTTCTCTGTTTGGTAATGAAAACCTAAGAAATCAGGTTTCTGTTCATCTTCTTCCATCTTCACAGTAACAATACTGATATTATTCTCCTCATGTTTGACGCACACTTCCTCCTCCTCTTTAAGGATGGGGGGCCCAGTCTCCTCCTTGATCGCGCTCTTCCTCCACTGGTGCTGCTCAGTCATAACCTCTTCCTTAATCGTCAACAGCTTAAGGTCGTCTGCAGGGAGAGTAGAGAGACGTTAAAGAAGACGAAGACTGTACATGTACGTGGATCACAAGTAAAACAAGTGCAGTTTAAGTAAAATTCAACGGATTTGCCCAAAATATTAAAATAACCTCTGTTACAGAACTAAGAGTTCTTTTGCTGTCTTTCCAATATTCTCCACTGCACATTTCTTCTTTTTACCAGAACTTGTCCTAAAGGCCCTGATGAACCAGAGTACTTGGCCAGTACTGATCTTCTACAGGTGTCACTGTGGTCCTCAGTGGGGCACTGGTGATAAATCCAAGCCAACTTAAATGTTCTCACCTTCTTCACTCTTCATGTTGACAGCCATGACATTAGCCTCCTCTAGCTTGATGCACACTTCCTTGCTTGATATGGGAGCACTCTAGTTCCTTCTGCTCCAAATAGATTTTCCAGGACAGATCACTGGTGAACCTGCAGGCCGTCATCTGCAGAAAGGACACAGGAACTTTGTTGAGCCACTTATCCTTTACTTGTCAGAGGCATCTATTAGAAGAAGAGGAGAGGGTTTGTTGTTTGCAAACAACTTTCTCCAACATCCTACTTCTTAAAATGCATCATCCTACAGAAATGTGAAATTGAAAACAGTGCATTATTATTATATTTTTAGACTACATTTGTAGCTGCACATAATAGTATTGTCATTTTAATAAGAACAACATCAACCATATTATTATTATTTAGTTTATTATTATATCATTACAAAAGTCAGACTCCTGTCTATAAATTAATCAAATCAGTCTCATAAAGGTACAGGTACCATGGTATATACCAGTTACACCACTAGACACTTCAAACTGAAACCAAAGTTGGCAGGCATTTTTGTGGATAACTAAATAAACACTGGTTTGGTTTAAATATTCAAAATGAATTTCCATATTAATTTGAAAATGTCATGATCAACTATCTTTATTAACATTTTACTGAGTCATACCATTTGACAAGTCTTCTAATCTTACACCTGTCAATGACCAGAAAATGCTTTATTTTGTCATTGAGCTAACATTGATTTATGGCAGTTGGGGTTGGACTTGGCAGACATAATCCCCTAAATTAACAGAGATATTCAGAAATGCCATGTCTCCCTATTATTTGGTAATAAAATAACATGTTTAAGATTAGCTGCTGTTCAGAACATCATTAAACATTTGTTTTACCAAAACTTGTATTATTGGTGCTGCATTTTAAGATTACACCATTTGGACGATTTTCCTTATTCTCTAAAAAAATTAATAAAATCTCAAAACCTCACCTGAGTACAAAGGTGCTGCGTTATCCACTATCGTCCTAAGACATACTGTATGTTGTCAGGGTTTGGTGGTTTTTGTACCCTCCTACTGAACCGGTCTGTGGTTGGCAGCTTTACCTCATTTCCAAGGCTGGTTTGCCTGAGAACACAAAGGCACCATATAAATCTCTTGGTAAATGTATAACAAATTCAACTTGATAGCCATGAGTACACGTGGAGCTTGAGAAACAATGAACTTAGAGAGATAAACACCATTGTATATTTGTGATTACATTTAACAGTTAGCATATATTTGCATAACGTCCGAACGCTACTCTTCCCATGCGATAGTAGTAATTTAAAGAGAGTCATTTAAAACTGAAATTTGCGAAAATACTAAGAACACACCAACGTATGTGGTGGAGTGTGGTTGAAATTGATGCTCGTTCTTCTTACTGTGACTGTCCATGCCATGCGTCGCCTCATCGTGACTTCTGAGACATACGCTCCTTATGTGCCGCGGACTCCCGTGGTGCGTTGCGTTTGCGTTGGCAGTAACGTCATGTTTACATTTGCAATTATCTGGTAATAATTAGCTGCAGGGAGCAGAGACTGACCTACTGTGTTTAGGTTAGGGCAGTTCTCCAGAAAAAGTGCTCCACTCTGTCCATACTTTCACGTGCTGTTCGCTGCTCTTCTAGTTTATTGTTCCATTTATTTGTTTGTTTCGATCGATTCTTTACCTAAATGACTGCATTCCGTGGCACTCATGAGCTTTAAGTGACACCTGCAGCATCTTCTAGGTAAAGCAGTTAAACGGCCTAGACGGAACAAGATGGCTGCCAACCGTTTCGGCATCCGCACTGATCGTTCACTACTTCCGGACATTTCATAATAAGATACGTTTTTCTTTTTCTTTAATTCCCCCTTACCTTCATCTGGTATATCTGTTCTTGTTTGTTTAGAGTACTAACTTTTATTTAAATTTTAATATTCTACGTATATTTTACGTTTTATCCTCTGCAAAGTTGCGCCCCCCACCTAAAAGTGCAGTGTATACATATTAATTTCCTTATACATATATGGATCAGTGAACGTTGTTATAGCATGTTTAAGTGCACGAAGTAAGTAGAGTTTACTTTGGGAGATAAGCTGTTTAGCTGCCATTCGTGAGGGTAAACTAGTGTCTTTCTTGCTTACATCGAATGTAGGAACAAAGAACGTCAGCTTATCTAAGGCTGATGGTGCACCGAAACGTTATTTGCAAAGTTATGTTTTTTTCCAGCAGGTGTAGACTCAACTGCAGCGCACCGTAGTAGCAGCACTTAAGACACCAGGGGGCAGCAATAAATCATAAATGATTCCAGGACCTGATCATGTGACTTTAACGTCACGGACATAAGCTGTCTTATTAGCAGCTCGGTCTTCGCAAATAGGTTTTCAGTTTTACAGAGCAGACTGATGACACTGACCTTTGGCCTTTGTTTGTTTTGCGGCAGCACGTTATTGTGGTTCCTTTAGTGCCTGGTGGTTTGGGGTTTTTTTTGTTCAGACTGCTGCCCACCTACCAGTCTTAATTTGTTAAAAGTACTTTGTCAGTTTTAAAACATTTGTCTGGATACACTACAAGAGAGAGCAAATATCCTAAAACACATAATACTTTTCTGGGTCAAAAACGGGACTGAAGATCTGTAGTCTCTCCTCACACTGTTTTCTTTCAAGACTACTGTTCAAATGTCTGACCGGAACATGAGATGTTCTGGAGGAACAACCAGGCTCCTACAGAGGTCAGCTGCTGACTGGGGCCAACGTGAGAATCTATGACTATGTCCAATGATTCCAAAGCAACCTCCTGTTCTCTAGTTTTACATCATTAATAGTACCTGTGTGATTTCCTGCAGGTGTACGACCTTAAATAGAACTATTTTGAAGTAAGAAAAATAAGGAACCTGGAAAAAAGTGCTGGAAGTCAACGTTTTTAAACCTCAAATGTAGTCATTGTGGGTGTGTGTTCTGTCCTCTCTACTTTTTTTTCTCTGTGTGTTCTCAGAGTGAAGTCATGTGATGAGCTGAAAGTCATTCAGTCCGACCCCTGATCTAATTATTCAGGTTCCCTCAGAGTCTGGCTGATGTTCTTGTGCAGCAGACACAGATCTGCTCAGTTGTACATCGAACAGACAGTGAAGAATAAACACCATTTATTCTTTAGATATAAAAAAAAAAACCAAGACACAGCACAACATGTGGCTTCAGTCTGTTCATGAATGATCATGTGACTCTG